AGTACAAAATAGTTCGCAGTAGGACCACTTCTGATGATTTGAACTGTTTTTAGTTTGTATTGAGTAGTTACAAATTACTTCTTTAGTTAATATTTTGTATGATGTTGTATTAAATTTATACGTATATTGGTTTTTTTACCGATTTCGATTATTTCAGAAAAAAAACTTCGTATAAAATGTTAAATTAAATTTCTTTTTAATAATTTTATGTAAGTTTTACAAATGCGTAAGTATCCAAAGTTAAATAATTACAATAATGCTCTAAAACTACTCTTAACCAATCAATCAACTATGAAACAATTTCTAAAACTCTTCCATACTGAGTTGGTGAATCCTTTCAAAATTTTTGTCAGGCTCGTTAGACGTTTGATGGTCAGTCCTGAATAAATCAGGTCTGTTATTTTCTTTGTCTGGTACATCAATTACAGACATGGAGTCACATTCCAGTTTTAGATCTCGGATCGCCATCCCACGTGCATATCTGCTGTTAACAATTTTTGTGAGTAAGCAATTTTTATAAAAAAAAGTACTAACTTTGGCTCCATAGTTTTCCGAAAATCATCATCTTTTTCAATATATTTTGTGAAAATTGTTTCATTGTCACCTGACCAAATTCCTAATAAACAAACTTTCCTACCCGTAACAAGCAGCTGGCCCTGAATTTGGTAGTGCTAGTTACTAGGTAGTCTTCTTGTTTACGGTCACTGTGCCTGATTTTTTTTGTCGTATTTGAGAATTTGAATTTTGTTTTCCTTAATTGAATTTTCAAGACCTTTTTTTAGAAGCTGTAATGGGACACTTTATCTCGACTAGCATATCATCTCCTACCAGTCCGTCCGGAGTTGCACCGATACGTGGATGAATTTGATCGATAAATAATCCAAACAATTAATTATGACAAGCTTTTTTATTGTAAATCTTCTAAGAGGTAATTAATATCAATGAATCGCCGTCCTAGAACATGCTGAAATTCTTCATTGCTTTTTTAGGCTCAATAGCGTATGAACCGTTATTGTCTTCAGTTGGCCTGAAAAATAAATTCAGGGAAAAATAGATAAATTAAAATTGTAGATGAACCCCCCTTGGGTTCATCTACCCGTGAAACTGAACAACTTTCCTAAAGAAACCCATATCGAAATCAGAAAAAAAAATCGATCTCCCAAACAAAATATGTTACTTGACTGACAATTTGTATAGCAGAACGATTTTTTTTTTTAAATTTCGATATTTCTTCTTTATTTTTAAATAGCTACTTACACATAATTAGTTATATTATGTACATTGGAATTCAGTGTAGTTGTGCTACTGCTGGGCAAATTACTCTGTTGTCTGAAAAATACATTGTCCAATTATTAAAACAGCACTTGTCAGCAAGTAATGAGAGAAACTATAAGGCCTATAAAGCCTATTAAACTATAAAGCTGGCTGACAGTGGTGCGAACAATGGATTTCCATTGTCCGCGCCACTGTCACTAATCACGCCAATATTATAAATGGGAGAGTTTGGATGTTTGTTTGTTACCTAATATCCTTCAAAACCGCTGCACCGAATTGGATGTTCACAGATAGTATATGACCAGGATTAACTAATAGGTACTTTTAATAAATTTTATAATATTAACTAATTAGGTACTTTTTACCGGTGTTTATAAAATACATGTGCAGGATGTGGCGAAGATCAATTATTTTATATACCTAATGTATAATATGTAGATGAGTAAAATAATAATTTGTATTTAAATGTCATTTTTCACTAACACACTTTTCATTGAGGTTTTTTTGTGATCTAAATATGCCTTTGGTCCGTGGTGCTTTTGCACCGAAAACAAAAAAGGTCACAATTGCTACATTCAGTGGTCTTACTGTTATACTTATACTGTGACATATAAAGTAAAAATAAAACTATTGTTTTTACGTGAAGTTGCATTTCTTAATTTATTTGTTTTTATTAAAAAGTGAAAATAAATCGACAGGTATTCATTCATACTAACATTAATGTTTTTTTATATAAAACTTTAATCTTAAGCTTACTCGCGATCAATATTTTCGAGATCGGAACGGCGGTGCGCGCGAAAATTAGACACAGGACCTGCTTCGGCAAGGCCCGGCGGGCGACTAGCGTGAGCAGATCTTGCATTTGATTATATATTATTTAGATTTATAAAAAGTAAATAACAATTTTAAAAAACGAACCGCAGAATTGTTTGTTAAAAATATGCTTGGATATTGTAGTTTAATTTTTATAGTAATTTACGTGGTATTTCGAAAATGAAACAAAATAATAAAACTCAAAAGACTAAAGTTTAGATAAAATTTCTATCGAAAATTTTTTGAAATATAATGTTTTCAACCGCAGATTCGTAAACCTCATATCCTTAAATTTGTTATGTATTTTTTTTGGGTCTTGGAAACTTTATTAGAGTCCATGAAATTGTTTTGAATATCAGTAATTTACTAATAACCGGGCCTTAAGGGGGAATATAACCTCAAATGGCTTAGTAAGATCCTCCCTTATACCGAAAATATTGCAGCATTAATTTTGAAATAAATATATGGTAAAGTTGAGGATTAATATTAAGGACTACGTTAGACGAAAACATGATTCCCTAAAATTTTCTCGCTAGAAAAAAAAATCCAAAGTTACCTCCAAACTGAACAATAAACCGCTGTTATTCATAAAATACTTTAAATAAGATCATGAAACTTTGCATACTAACTGAAATAAATATAAAGCAGGGCTTATGTTTTTTTTTAATTACCATTATTTTCACTGTAAAAAGAAATTACCTAAACTATCGACGTCCTGAAGCTTGGAACCGGGCGGCAGGAAACAAGCTTCAGGACGCCGATCAAAGTTTAATCACAAACATTTAATCCTCAACTTTACCAAATATTTATTTCAAAATTAATGCTGCAATATTTTCGGCATAACGGAGGATCTTGCTAAGCCATTTGAGGTTATATTTCCCCTTAAAGAGTCTTAACTTTGTGGCCTCGCAATACATTTACGAAAATGTAATGTATGTACACAAAATTAGAAGTAGTTTTTAAAAAAAAAGTGATATTCATTCTGTAAATACTAGCAACAGACACAAGCAAGTTAATACCAGTTACTCGACTCCACCGAGTCCATCAAACTTCTACATCAAAATCCCAGAAAATATACAAAATTTGTCCTCCTCAAAGTTCAAAACCTTTATTGCAAAATAGTAACAAAATTGTAGAATTATTGTGACAAACGAGCACACAGTCCACCTGATAGTAAATGGATGCTGTGGTGGATCTACATTTATCCTCGATGAAGAATCAAAATGCTGATGCGTTGTCACCCATGAGAACTAAGATGGGAAACGGGTCTCCGGTTCTCTACACTCACCATACGAAACACATCAGCAATAAACTGCTGTTTTACGCTAGTATTAAAAAAAGTATGCTACAAAACTTAAAAAAATATCCGTCTGGAATAAGTTATCATTCAAATGCTGAAAAAGTATTTAATATAGGCACAGTGTTTCTCGAGATTACTCTTCACATATACAAAAACTAACAAAATTCGCACTTTCTCTTTATAATATTCGTATGAACAGCATAACATAAACACTCACGCCTGTCACCCAGAGGGGTAGGCAGGGACTACAGACTACCATTGGGCACGATCCGGACACACCTCTCCCGCCTCCTCCGTATTATTTATGATATAAAGATCATAAATAATACGTACAGAAGTTTACTCTTATGTTAAATTTTCCACTGGTGCGGAAAATAACTGTCCTGGGAAGAACCAGCAAGAAACCCAGCAGGACATTTTTCAAATCAACGGTTAACAATCATATAATTTATAAAATATAATTTATATAATTAACAACACAAAACAAATTAGTAATAGCTTGGTAGCGATCACCTTCCTTTTATTGGATAAGAGGCATTTCATGTTAGTCCTCAGGGGTGACAACGCATCTGCGTTTTAATTTTTAATCGAGGATAAATGTCTATGGGCCACAGTATCCATTTACCATCAGGTGGACTGTGTTCTCGTTTATCACCCTTATTCTATAGAAAAAAAGATGGATATAGGTATAGATTATATATATTACGTTTATTATGTTTTAAAGTTTTAATGATATTTGTTAACTAAGTCGGAAAAAGTCGTGCCTCTTGAGAGCTTTCGTAGCGTGCAGAGTCAGTAGTAAAAGTTACACGAAAAAAACATAATACGGCTGAATTGTTCTTCTTAAAAAGTTAAAAAAAAATCCGCGACAGTACGACGTCTATACTGATGTATATACAGGGATGTCAGCGCGGGAGAGTCATAATATAATAATAATAATGTCCTCCAGACCGAATTTCGGCCACGGCGGCCTGCCTCAACGAAGATTTGCCATCGGCGCAGGACAGGTTTATAGTGCCCAAGTGTATGCGCAAGCACAGGTGCACTCTCTATTCCCTCACTCTCATAATCCGATGGGACGGTAAACCGACACGACCGGGAGAGAGATCAGGCGCAGGACCAACGGCTTTACGTGCTTTCCGAGGCACGGGGGTGAGACACCGCCAACTTTCTGACTCCGGGTAACTACCGAGCATTTTCTGACGGAAAACTCAATAATTAATTTTTTGGCACGACCCGGGATTCGAACCCAGGACCTCATGATCAGCAGTCGCACTACTACAACCACTAGACCAACGAGGCATAATATAGATAATTGTTCAACGCGGACAAAACCAGGGCGAGCAGTTAGTACTGAATGAAAAAAATATCTGTTTTAGTATGTGTATGTACCGTTACACGTAACGTTATAGTAAAGACCTTTTCAGCACTGGATCATTAAAGCTAAGGTAATACAGGTTTGTTGGAAGCTTCTTAAAGATGCGTTTGTACAAAGGCGGGATCTCTCAAGTGACCTTCGCGTTGCACCGCCATTGTATATATAGACTTGTGTACACATCACTCAGTACAGTTGCGCACAGTCGCCTCTAGTGAACGCTACCCTTATCGCAAAATGGTGAGTCGTTAGTGTTGTGCGAGTGTGTTATCGATATTCACATTTAAAGTGATTTTCTTTTTTTCCCTAATTACTAATTATAATGTATTTCAATTCACAAAATTTTATATTCGGGATCATTGTCAGTATGTGGTGTTAAGTAAACTTCTTCTTAACAAAGATGTGGTAGGAACGTAATTGTAGATAAACTTGCTATTTTATGTTATCAAAACATATGCGTGGAGTTGATTATCAAAAAGATCAAAGATTAATTAATTAAAAGATGTTTGAGTAAAATTCTTAATGGATTTCTGCAATATAACGCCCGATTTAATTAATTATCGAAGGATTTATTTTTTTAAACGTCGTTAGAAACTTAACAATTTGACTTTACAGTAAACACTTTTGTCTCCAAAGTTTTATTCGAGACATAAGTTATAATCAAACTCAACATATTTGTAGAACATATTTTACTCAGTTTGTAGTATTCACCTAAAATCTTTACTGTATTACCGATATTTAGTTTTAATAATAATTTAATGTTATGTAGTTGTCAAAGTCATAACTTTGTGTTCAATTCAGAGTTAAATAATAAATTGCTCAATAATAATAACAGCGAAACAGCGTTTTCTACAAAAAAAAAAACTTCAAATACCATTTTAATAAACGAAACGAAAGTTAAGGTAATTTATTTAAATAATTTGATTTTACCACATTAAATAAATACTCTATATAAAATAGATAAGTATAAAACATATTTATGCTGATTCTCATAAATACCGATACAGTATACGTAATGTTTTGAAATTATACATCACTAAGACATTTTCTAAAAGCCATCTCAAAAATCCTAATTACGTATTGTTATATAAGATTTTGGAAGTCGTGACTGCAATATGGATATTACATAAAAATATCCACTACCCCATATCGAGCCGTGGGTGTCGTAAGAGGTAACAGAGGTAAACTGAAACAGATGTGCCAGCAGCATCTTTCTGATGACAACTTAAAGTTATAAAAATCTGCTGCTGTCAACCTACCTGCCACACGTGCTTCCTGTGGCAAAACCTTCCCTAAGAAGCAATCTATCGGTTAAGACTTAATTAATAATAAAATAAATAAGCCTCCCTCATAGCTTGGCTCATAGGGGAGTATTTGTCGCGCACCGTTTTTTTTTTATTTTTAGTCGTTATTATGAATACGCTGCTGTCCATCTCCTGATTTGTTCCCCTGTGTCGCGTCTTACGACACCCACGGGATTATATGGGGTAGTGGATATTTTTAGAAAGCCATTACACGGTTAAGGCGATACCGCGAAAAAATGCACCTCCTTTCATCGAATAGTATATAGGTCTATGACACCACTAACGAAAGTGGAATTTTGATATAGGTAAATTAATGTCCTTATCTTGAATTTGCTTGTACATAAACACAATTTTATAATTTTGACTCGATTATAATTATTCGCGAAAACACCTCTAAAATGTCACTATAGTTGAAATTACAACGAAATTACTTTATATATATCCTTGGGAATCACTTAAATATATTCATAACATCAATATTCATAATTTACTTGCTCATTATTTTGATTACTTAAATCAATATTTTTTTTTAAAAAGTATTTTAAGATTCTGACAATTTCTAAGCGGCTTTAATCGTCGCGGGCGCTACGCAATTTTAAACCTTAAAACGGCGTTTTTTAAGTTTTTATAGAAATTATGTATTCACTCGGATCAGTAGCCACGGAGCCACTTTTTCGATGTTCTAACAATTACTGTAAGGGCCGATCCTCATTATAATGCGGTTCCAAGTTCGTTCGCGGTCCGATCTCGGTCTGATAAAATATTATCAAGTAAAAAATATGAATCCCATTCCAATAATATAATAAATTAGACCAGGATCGGACCGAGAACGAATTGTGAACGACAAATGAGGATCGGCCTTGAGTCTTCATTAGTTTGTGTTGTATTTTATCCTATGAATTAATTTTATGAGTATCGGTAATTCAATTTTTACTGAATATGCTTCCATTATTTTTGATTTAATTATTTTTAGCCGACGTAGCCTTCTCTATCAATTTTGATTACGGCACTATTCAATATTTTGATTGCAAATTCACGCGTCAATTTATCACATACTCAGTGGATAAGGAAAATAGAGCTAGAACGTTTGTATTCTAAGAATTTAAAATATTTCAAGGCAATATACATATAAGGGTAACTAACGAGCATAAAGTCCACCTGATGGTAAAATCCTCGATGAAGAATCAAAATGCAGATGCGTTGTCACCTCTGAGGACTTAGATGGAATGCCTCGTTTCCAGTAAAAAGGGTCTCCGGTTCTCTACACTCACCATACGAAACACAGCAGCATTGAGATGCTATTTTACGCTGGTATTCTGTGAGAGCGAGGTCCTTCCCCGGTCGAGCCGACCCATTCGGGCTACAACTATATCATATAGTTGTACCATGTCCTTTACCTAGACATAAAATACCCATATCAGCGAGGGTAAGCAGAGTCAAAGGTACTCACGTCTGGTGGCCATGGTCTGGTTAATTCCATGCCAAGAGTGACGATTGAACCAATAAATTTTTGATACGACCTGGCGACCTTCAAGAAAAGAGCTTACTCCTTTCTAAAGGGCCGGCAACGCACCTGCAATTCCCCTGGTGCTGCGGTTGATCATGGGCGGCGGTAGTCACTTAACATCAGGTGAACCGTATGCTCGTTTGCCCCCTCTTCTTTAAAAAAAAATTCTCCCGGCAACGGTCGAAGCCTATTATACACAGCAGTGGATATTTACAAGCTAATGATTTTTGAGGAAAGTTTTCTTCCGGCTAGAATTTGAACCCCGGACCCGCGTAACTGACCATAAGAGGCCGCTCGTTAAGTTCAATACGAGATCAGCATTGCCGGTTGATAATTGATAGGTTGCGGAGAGGTCGGGTCACGAACTGACATTCCTTACTGATGTTTTAAGTACGAGAAAACAGTGGTACAGTGATGAGCTGAGCGGAAATATTTATTATATATTCTGTAAAAATATAGTACTTATATTACGCACCGAGGTAGAAAAGTATGACATTGCAACTGGCAGCTATTGTCACCCGAGCCTTAGGCGAGGGTTATAAGAACGTGGGTTGCGATGTCAAACTTTCCTCCCGATGTGCGTATCGATATGTTTTATCATACCTTGATAGAAATTATTGTATCTTAAAATGTATCATGACATATACTTTGACGGCTCCGTGGCGCAGTGCCTTAGCAATGAGTTGCTGCGCTGGGGGCCGCGGGTTCGAATCCCGCACGGAACCAATATTTGTATAGACTACAAATAATTGTTCTGGGTCTGGATGTTTGTCCTTGTGAAATTTATATTTGTAAACTGCTGCCACGATACAGGAGAAATACCTAGTGTGGGTGTTTTTCAACGTATTTTAAAAAAATTGACATTTTAAATATCGTTTTGAGCTAGAAATTTGACGCATTTGACGCAAATTTGACGCGTGGCCGTATTAAATTAATAAGTCATTGAATCAGGAGGCAAAGTGGAACTTTCGTCCCTGAAAGTAGGGTCGTAAATACGAACTTTCGGTCTAGGTATGATACAAAAAATCTTAGTGCTGTTATACTGAGTAACACACCGTGTAGTGGCGGTGTAAGAATATCCAATATCCCATATCATCCCGTGGGTGGCGTAAGAGGTGAGAAAGGGGTTAAAACTAACTAAAGATTGGCAGCAGTATCTTTCTGATAACAACTCAAAACAAAACAAACCCTACGGTTGCCAACAAATCTGCCAAGCGTGGAAACTATGGCAAATATACCCACTGAGAGGTGAAAGTATTAAATCAACAGAAGCGACAGTGGGAAAATGAAACGGGAGATAGACAACAGTATCTTTCTCATAACAATTAACAACCTGCTTGCCAAGTGTAACTATGCCAAAATCCCCCCATGAGGCAATGGGGGAGGGAGGCCTAGTTCACCAGTGTACTTTTATAGGCTGTAACGGATGGATGTTTAGAAGATAATCTACCAGGAGCACATGACCCACTGAGAGGTGAAATTATTAAATCAACAGTAACATTGCAACTATGTAGAAGATAATCTACCAGGAGCACATGACCCACTGAGAGGTGAAATTATTAAATCAATTCAGTAACATTACAACTATGTAGAAGATAATCTACTAGGAGCACATGACCCACTGAGAGGTGAAATTATTAAATCAATTCAGTAACATTACAACTATGTAGAAGATAATCTACCAGGAGCACATGACCCACTGAGAGGTGAAATTATTAAATCAATTCAGTAACATTACAACTATGTAGAAGATAATCTACCAGGAGCACATGACCCACTGAGAGGTGAAATTAATCAACAGTAACATTGCAACTATGTAGAAGATAATCTACCAGGAGCACATGACCCACTGAGAGGTAAAATTATTAAATCAATTCAGTAACATTACAACTATGTAGAAGATAATCTACCATGATCACATGACCCACTGAGAGGTGAAATTATTAAATCAACAGTAACATTACAACTATGTAGAAGATAATCTACCAGGAGCACATGACCCACTGAGAGGTGAAATTATTAAATCAATTCAGTAACATTACAACTATGTAGAAGATAATCTACCAGGATCACATGACCCACTGAGAGGTGAAATTATTAAATCAACAGTAACATTACAACTATGTAGAAGATAATCTACCAGGAGCACATGACCCATTGAGAGGTGAAATTATTAAATCAACAGTAACATTATAACTATGTAAAAGATAATCTACCAGGAGCACATGACCCATTGAGAGGTAAAATTATTAAATCAACAGTAACATTACAACTATGGTAAATATCTCCCCTATGAGGCTATTTATGGGGGAAGCCCTCAGCAGTGGACTTTTATAAGCTATAAAAGATGGCATGAATGATATACAGTTGTGTAAAATTTTATTTGGCAACTGTCTACCCGCTACCCGCTCCGTCTATGCACTGTATACCCCACAACGAATTATATCTCATCTTCCAGCCGGTTTCGTAACCTCACCTTACGAAATATCCGCCTCGGCATAACAACGGCCCGCGGCGTCGCGTCGGTCGGCAAACCTTTAATTCCGTTGTATAATTTTTTTGTACGCAGAACTAAACCTTTTTTGTGTAAATATATTCTGGTTAAAATTAGTAATCAGTTATATACGAATAAGCACGCTATATCCGTGAGTTAATGCAATATGCTTATTAGTTAATATTATGTACGTAATTTATATCGGTTTCTGATTACAGTCCTTCACAAGTCAACTGATTAGCATAGGTCTTTCCCAAGGATCAGATCAACTATAGCTAAATTCCCCCACCCCCTCAGCTAAAAAGCAACCTATGGGGGAGGCCTATGTTTAGCAGAGGACTTTTATAGGCCGTAATATATAAAAACATTAATTTATAAATCATCATTCCCCAGAAACTCCTTCTCATCATCCTTCTGGTGGCGTACGCGTCAGCCGATGTCTCCCACATCGTGCCGCACAACGGTGAAGGATCCGCAAAGATCGTGAAGCAAGAACAGGATATTGGCCTGGAAGGCCAGTACCAATGGGCGTACGAAACTGAAAACGGCATCTCCGCCCGCGAACAAGGGACCCTGAACAACCCTCAGGCTGTGAGTATTCAAGCTAAAGATAAACCCTAAACTTTATTTAGCTAGTTGACATACACACACACTCCCATACACATACATTCAGACATACAGACATCGCAAATATATAGCCAGAATAGGTTCCTAGGACCTCGAAACGTCGAGATCTGAAAGGAACTCGACTTTCAAAAACCTGGGTGAAAACAATAACTTCCCGATTATCGAAAATCATTGATTTCCATTGCGGGAAGTTAAAAAAAACTTAAATTCAGCGCTTTTTCACGCACAAGCTTACGGTCCATCTGATGGTAAGTGACCACAGAAACTTTAGATATTTATGTGACAGACGGCTTCACGCAAATTAAGCTACTTATGTATTATTACGTTGGTGGACAACGATGAAACCCTAAGATTTTTTATTAAGAATAAAAAAAACAAGTCCTCACGGGTGACAACGCACCTGCATTTTGATTCGAAATCTAGGATAGATGTAGATGTCTATGGGCCGCAGCAACCACTTACCATCAGGTGGACTGTGTGCTAGTTTGTCACCCTATCCTATAAAAAAAACTAAGATGGAATGCCTCGTTTCCAGTAAAAAAGGGTCTCCGCATCTCTACACTCACCATACGAAACACAGCAACGATAAGCTGCTATTTTACGCTGGTTTCTGTGAGAGCGTGGTCGTTCGTACTGCAACCATAATAAAGCTGCAGCATGTCTCTACCACGTATAAATTCTTTTTATAGACAAGAGTGACAAATGCGCCAAAGTCCACCTGATGGTAAGTGGAAACGCCCATAGACATTTGCCTGAGGATCAAGATGGAATGCCACGTATTCAGTAAAAAGGGTCTCAGGTTCTCTACACTAACCATACGAAACATAGCAGTATTACGCTGCAATTTCACACTGGTATTAAGTGGTCCTACCCTGGTCGAGTCGACCCATAATATAGCTGACGCGTAGCTCTAACACGTTAAAGAAATAGCCCATATGAAGGTACACTTGCGTCAAGTTAGGTTTTAGACTTTGATATCCATTGCTAATTTTCCAGGAGAACCCTGAACAAGTCGTTCAAGGCGAGGCGCGTTGGACAGCACCCAATGGCGAAGTAGTCTCACTGCAATACGTCGCTGACGGAAATGGATACCAGCCCCAGGTGAGTTCGGGTTTCAAGTTACTTTTTTACTTATTATAAACCAGTGTTTTATAAAAAAACCCACCGGGTGGTAAGTGGTGATAAAGTCTTGGACCGTAAATCGTACTGCCTTAGCGTAACAAAGGCCTATTCACTCTTGCCTTAAAGACGCACAAATTGTATTCTGAAGGAAAGACAGACGCAGGCAATATTCCACTCTCTTGCTTTACGCATTACGAAATAGGAAGCAAACCGTTTGGTAGGAACGTGTTGTCCATAACGAAAGGAGTTAAGGTGAATGGATGGTGAATAAGGAAGGCGATAAATTTCACCATCGCACATCGGCCAGGAATTCGCTATACCATCCATACCATCTGTATAATCATCGGTACTGTGCAAAATATCAGTTTTTTTTTTACGAGTAAAATTATATTTTGAATGGTTAAACGATGTTGAAACCACCGTAGCAAGGGTGGTCCTTCACTGCCGGCCCTGTGAGAAAGCGAGCTGAAGTTTATTAATTGTGTTCCTTGACAAAGTACATGCTTCGCTTCCATACGTTAGAATTGGTAAAACTTAGGTATTGAACATTTGACTATTTGCCGCTATACGTAGGTTTTATTTCATTAATTCTTTTAGGCCCCAGTATCTCTTCAAACTATTACCTATTCTTCTTTCGATTTCTTTGTTTATGTTATCTTTAGGTGATATCAGCTACCCTAAATATATGTATTCCTCGACATAACTAATTTGCCTACGTTTATGATGATTTTATTTTCATTGGTCGTTACTTTTGTTTTATCAGGATTCAATTTTAGTCCTAAGTTTTCATTCTCTGATATTTCATTTAATCCTGACTGACTCTTCCGACGTTTTTCCAAATAACACAACATAGCGAGCTATTAACCAAGTTACTCTGCGGGATAGACTTCGAAATAAAAAATTCCGCAGTAGAACTAAAGCGACCGACATAGCCCAACGGATTAGTAAGCTGAAGTGGCAATGGGCCGGCCATATAGCTCGAAGAACCGACAACCTTTGGGGAAGAAAGGTTCTCGAGTGGCAGCCTCGTAACGGTAAGCAAAAGGTAGGGTAGCCTCATTCGATGGAGTGATGACCTGGTAATACATGCAGGAAGTCGATGAATGCAAATGGCACAAGAAGAGAGTTCAACAGTGGACTTGTGAAGGGTTATTTTGAAGATGATGGTGATGATTTAAACCACAAAGCAGATAATGTTATATGCTTTTTACCGATAAATTTAACAAATAAAAATAAGCCATGTGTCATAACTTTTAGATGACTTAAAATATAAGAAGCAAATAACGTTGAAAATTTAATCAAATTTTCTATTTTCAGAGTTCTCACCAGCCTGTAGCGCCCCCAATTCCCGAGGCCATTCTCAAGGCTTTGGAATACATCAGGGCCCACCCTCCACCACCAGAAAAGAACTAAGCATTTGAAAACTTGTATGAAATTGGCGCATAGCGACTTTATATAAGCCCTAAAATCAAGAAAGACAAAAAATGCGTCATCTCAGAGATGACGAATCAAACCTCTCAAATGTTGATAATTATAAAACTTTTGAGGGCTTTTGAGGATGATGCATGTTTGAATCCCGCACGATAGAAGTGTTTGAATGGCCTACAAATACTTGTTCCAGATATGAAGGAACAAATATTTTAAGCCATACAAGCGCAGTAACATCTTAAAAAAATAAAGAAAATGTTTTCTTATTTCCAGGGCATATATATGGTCGAATGCATGCGATGTTTATGTTTATATCTAATAAGAATACTCCGTCTTTTTTTATTTTTGTACAATGTGAAGACTACTGTGATAGGAAGTACTTAATACATTAAGTTTATCTCTTCATTTTTTTGTTTTAATCGAACATAAACTACCTTTAAAAATTTATATAGAAATGCGAATTAACGCAAACAAACTCGAAACGTTGACGCAAAAAAATAACAGGACTAGAAAAAAGGTATGAAATATATCCGGACCCAAAATTGAGCCTTCAATGAGATCAAACCAAATTCTAATATATAAAAAACGCTTATATCATATAAGGTTAACTTGAAGTTATACACAGTTAAGTATTAAGTTTATACGTTGTAATATAACTTAAAGGTAAAATAATTTAAAATGTTTTAAAATAACGTATTATATTTCATGATATTATTAGTATCTTTATATAAATCCATATAAACACTCACGCCTGTCACCCAGAAGGGTAGGCAGAGACTACAGACTTCCATTTGGCACGATCCTGATACACCTTTCTCGCCTCCTTCACATCCATACACCTACGCATACATGCTCGTCGGTTAAGGGTACTCCTAATTTGGCCCATTTTCAATAAATCGCCAATTTGGTCGATAAATTTTCGCCTAGGACGTCCCTTTCCGACTCTGCCATTCACTTCTAACATAAATTCTCTTTGTCACTCTTCCCTCATTCATTCTTTCCACATGACCAAACCACCGAAGCATTCCTTTCTGAATCCTGGTCACAACATCATCTTGCAAAACACACTCTTCTCTTATTACTCAATTTCTTACCCTGTCATTCAGATTCAGCCCTGACATACTTCTTAACGACCGTATTTCTGCTGCGTTCATTCTACTCTCGTGCTTCTTCTGCCACACCCAACTTTCACTACCATACGTTAAAGTAGGGACCAACACAGCATTGTGAATTGCCATACGTGCCTTTTTCGACACATTTTGACTCTTCACAATAGAGTGCAGGGCCCCATTTACTCTATTTCCCGCATTCACTCGTCGTTCTATATCCTTATCATATCTCCCATCCCTGCTAAATACGCAGCCCAAATATACAAACTCATCTACTTGCTCGATCAACTCCCCTTCTATTCTTATTTCACAAATCGTTTTACTTTCTTCTCTTTCAAAAACCATAAACTTCGTCTTACTTGCGTTTACTTTCATACCCCCTTCTTTTAATGATCTGTTCATTAATGTAACCATCATTTGCAACTCGGCCGCCGACGACGCAAGAATGACTTGATCATCGGCGTACAAAAGGCATTTGACGGTTAACTCACCCATTCTTAATCTGCATTCTTCAACTTTCAAATTTTGCAAACAATTCATAAATAGGTTGAACAGCCACGGGGAAGCCACACAGTCCTGTCTAACACCTTTATGGATGTCAAACTAGTCCGAGTAGACCCCGTTGATCCTAACACAAGAACTAGAGTCTCTATAAAGAGACTCCAATGCCTGTGTCAAGCCAGCGCTCAACCCAAATGAGTTCAGTGTTTGCCATAGCACATCCCTATCCACTCTGTCATAGGCCCTTTCCAAGTCCATGAACGCACAAAAAACCTTTTGGTTTTTGGCCAAAAACTTCTCCGCAATCATGCGCATGGAAAAGACTTGATCTGTACATCCCATTCTCTTTCTACATCCCGCTTGCACACCCCAAATTTTTCCATCAGTTTCTTTCAGGACCCTTTCAATCAGTACCTTAGCATACAGTTTTCCCACAATGCTAAGAAGGCTGATGTCACGGTAGTTTTTACAGTCCTGCTGCGACCCTTTTCCTTTATATACTGGGACTATCACGGCTTCGCACCAGTCTACCGGGTACCCACTTCAGTTCCCAGCATAAATTAAACAATGTGTGCAGCAGGCCTGCCACCACTTCCTCTCCACTTATTAGTATCTTTGCGTGAATAAATTCGTATCTGCAGTAGAACCAGAGTAACTGCCATAGCCCAACGGTTGAGTAAGCTAATTTATCAATGGTCTCATATAACTCGAAAATCGAAATCGATGAAGAAGCAAAGGTTCTCGAGTGGCAACCTCGTGTTTTATTAATATTATGCCTGACTCTTGTGCTATATTTGTGATATTTTTTTGTTTTAAATTTCTGTGCATTTACTCAGTAAAGACTTCTAGTTTCAGTCAATCTAAATTTAAAAACCTCTAGCATATCACCTCGTGCCGTTCTACAGAAGACAGTGTGTGATTTTATTACATAATTTCAAATTTTCCATACGTACATAATGTTTAGCATTTATAAATACAAGAAGGCTAGAAGACCAAAAATTTGGTAAGAACCTTACATTACTCGTAAAATCGACGTCAATTTAAGAATTTCCTAAAGTTACTCTCTCTCTCTCCCTTTTCACTAAATAACAATAGAAGGAGACAAGTATCGAGATAAATAACACTTAAGTAAGCAATAATCAACAATTATTGCTAACGCTGTAAAATACGCGAGTTGTTTTTGGCCCGTTTATAAATTAAAACGACAAATAAAACAAAGATAGGTTTCTGACACCAGCAACCTTACTCTTGAATCCAATATCAATTTCAATCCAATTAATTTCAATGTTGACGAATTACCGTAGTCTTAAAAAAAATTGTTAACATTGGATTGAGATCGGAATTGCGCTTGTAATGGCCAAAAATTTTGTCGTAACACATGAAGGTAGCTGCGTTACTTTTATCAATAGGCACGTGTTACTTATCATTAAACCGGTGAATTCATAAAAACCCTTTGTAACTTTCATAAATAAGCGTTTAAGTAGTAAAAGAATATTTAAGAAATAGTATAATTCGTCAAACAAATACAAAAAAAATCAGTATAATAAATAAAAAATTGGCAATTTTTATAAAAAATAAATATCTAATATCCTGAAAACGGTTAAGTTTGGGGTATGGTGTTTCATAGTCGAAAGAGTCATTACTGATGCAAACTAGAACCCCCTAAGATCTAGGTCAACTAAGCCTGAACCCTGAATGTTTGTCCATTTTTCGTGTATTTTTGCTGTTTTGTTTCATAAAATTTCAAATAAGAACGACTCTAAAGAAAGTTTCACTTCAAACATTTTGTGTCTGTTCTGAAAAAACACTTAATAACAATCCACTCACCTTGATCCCTGAGCACGGTGACGGCTTCCAGGACCCTCTTGGTGTAGATGCAGGGCTCGTAGTTGTCCATCTCCTGGGTGACCACGGAGCAGACCCTAAGAAGCGAAACAAATCAGTAAATGAGCAGCAACGTATTCCTAATAACTACTAAAAATAAAAAAAAAACTGCAGTTGCCAACCCACTTGCCAAGCGTGGCATGGCAAATATCTTTCCTCCTCCCCTATCTATGGAGGAGGCCTATGTTCAGCAGTGGACTTATTAAAGCTGTAATGGATGGATGTATAGAAGATAATCTACCAGGAACACATGACCCACTGAGAGGTGACAATATTAAATCAACAAACAGTAACATTACAACCATGTAGAAGATAATCTACCAGGAGCACATGACGCACTGAGAGGTGAAATTATTAAATCAACAGTAACATTACAACTATGTAGAAGATAATCTACCAGGAGCACATGACCCACTGAGAGGTGAAATTATTAAATCAACAGTAGCATTACAACTATGTAGAAGATAATCTACCAGGAGCACATGACCCACTGAGAGGTGAAATTATTAAATCGACAGTAACATCACAACTATGTAGAAGATAATCTACCAGGAGCACATGACCCACTGAGAGGTGAAATTATTAAATCAACAGTAACATTACAACTATGTAGAAGATAATCTACCAGGAGCACATGACCCACTGAGAGATGAAATTATTAAATCAACAGTAACATTACAACTATGGCAGATATCCCCCCTATGTTCCAATCTATGGGGGAGGCCTGTGTTCAGCAGTAGACAGTAATAGGCTATATTCCGCATGGTGGGAAACGAGGCATTCCATCTTACTCCTCCGCGAAGATAATGCATGTGCATTTTTTCTAAGAAAGTAACATCTATAGGCCGCAGCATCCACTTACCACCAGATAGGCTGTGCGCTCGTTTGTCACCCTTTTAATCTCAACAAAAATACAAAGAGAATTAATTACTATGTACTAGTTCCATAAATGTTGAGACATTTTTTATATGAAATTTAATTTTCTACAACAGGCCCATACGAAACACAGCAGCATTAAGCTGCTATTTTATGATGGTATTCTGTGAGAGCGTGACCCGTTCTTTATTACCTTATTTTTTAAGAACGTTAATAAAATTACTTTTTCTGTGTGGAATTCAAACACGCGGCTTTTAGGGAAGAAACTTATTGCTAATAGTCGGGGAGCTGAGAAACCAAAACTGCAATTTTTTTAGAAAGGCTGATATGTTACTGCGGCCCATAGACATCTACATATATCCTCGAATACAAATCAAAATGCAAATGCGTTATCACTCGTGAACGAGTAAGATGGATTGCCTCGTTTCCAGCACAAAAATTATTTTATACATAGCTTCTATTCACTGCTGACGGCGTTTGTTGCATGAAATTAGTGACTGAATGAGTTTTTCATATTTTAAATGATATTTGCAAATTGTATGTAAATGAAATTTTAGATTTTATATAATAAATGGTTTACGATTTCCAATTTTTACTATACCCGCAACATTCTGTGTTGTGTACATGTATTTTTAACAAACGGCTACATAACCTAATGTTTTTGATATTAAATAATAATATTAATTTGATACAAAATGTACTAAATGTAAAAATATCATGGGTATGTTCCAAAAAGGAACATAGTGTACTGTCCAATGCAAATGACGTCATGAATCGACGCTATGCTGGTGATTCGTTCCAAAACATAGGACAATATATGACGTTATACATTTGCGCCATATTGGAAAAGTGTTGGCGATTATTTTGTCATTTTGTGCTCCAAAAATCATTATATCCTCCTAATGGAGATACCAGCAATTATTCTATATTTTTTGTATTTTAATAAATAAAAACAAATTCTGGCATGCTTCATTCAGCGTACACACAATTAAAAATTGTTTTAATATGGCCGGTTATCCGACACAATAAGGCGGCGGCATGCCAGTACAATATGGCGTCAATTGATGACGTCATTTGTAATCGGCAGTATACTGGAAACGTTTCGGAACATGCCCTATATATGGCATTAGCTCTCAGATTATCAAGACCACTGCGTCACGGTGCCATCGATTCTACCTAGAAAATAATGCGCTCTATATATTAGCTACGCTATCTTACTCGCTAAAGTAAAAGGGGGATATCCCTCGCAGTTTAGATCCTTAATTTAGTAGTACAGGTCTGTTTTATATATACGAAGGTACTAAGAAATTTTAATAGCGTGATTTAGACTTGTATTAGTGTTCAAGTTACCTGGCAGCTCTGCCGCGGATGGCGCCAGCAGTGCGCTCGAGGGAATCTGGATCTCCCTCCTGCAGCGCCACCACGCACTTGTTCACGTCCTCCAGAATGTGGTTCTCTGCACACGTATACCAACCAACATAACTATATCTTGTACTACTCTCAACATAGAATACTATAATACATACATAACAGAACGGGGGAGTGGGCGGAGCTCGTGTAGCCACTAACACATCAATTCATACGTATAAATGTCAACACGAGATGTGTTTTGACGTTACAATCGTTTCCAAATTTCGCATGCAAATTATTTATAAAATCCCAAATTGTACGCTATTTACAAATAAATATGTATTAAAATCGTTTGGTTTGTAGTAGTGATTAACTATAATATGACGTAATTGCTTGTATGTGTGCTCCCGGCGGAGCCAGTCCTCCTACAAAGTAAGGTTGACAGCCATTCTATTGTGTATTATAGTATTCTATGACTCTCAAGCTCTCAATCATTACTAAGAAACAATGCGTCAGTTATTTAAAAATAACTGTTTATATTTCTTTAACAATCACTGTTGCTTTTTTAACCCCAACGAAAACGAGGGATGTTATAAGTTTTTAGTGTGTATCTGTGATAAGACCAGGTTTTTAGATGTTTTTTTATACAGAATAAGCGTAGCAAACGAGCACACAGTCCACCTGATTTTAAGTGGATGCTGTAGCCCAAAGACATTTATCTACATTTATCCTCGATTAAGGATCAAAACGTAAATGCGATGTCACCTCTGAGGACCAAGATAGAATGCCTCGGTTTCCAATAAAAAAGGGTTTCCGGATCTCTACACTCACCATACGAAAAACAGTAGTATTAAATTGCTATTTTACGCTGGTATTTTGTGAGAGCGTGGTCTTTTTCCGGTCGAGCCAACCCATTCACGCTACAACCATAATATACCTGGTGGGGGCTCTACCACGTTTGTTGCAGATGTCCATAAATTACTGCATTTACTGGTATGTAAATGATGTTATCCATGGACTGGACTGGACTAATCAGGTGGATTGTAAGTTTAGTAGTGTACGTGTAGGCATACCGCACCCGTGTAGATGCATGTGTAAGTGTGCGTACACGTGTACGTATATGTGTACGTGTACGTGTAGGTACGTGTACGTGTACGTGTAGGAGCGTTTTCGTGTGCGTACGTACCGCTGACGGCGAGGAAGTCGTCGATGGTGGTGAGGTCGTCGACGGCGAGCGTGAGCAGGCGCACGGCGGCGCGCCAGGCGCTCGCGAAGGCGGCGCCGTTGTCCTGCGCCACGCGCGAGCGGCAGCGCGCCGCCAGCACCATCGCAGCGTTGATCACCTGCATCGCCAGGCACCACCCATCATTATACTCCGTAAGTTAGTGCATCCGTTAACATTGCCCTATACAGTGGGACCAATATCTACCACTACGCACCATTACAATACGCTTGGATAATCATTACAGCTTATAGCAGTCTAGTGCTGAACATAAGCCCATGTTAATTGATAGAATCAGGCGTTACTATACGGAAATCCATTATACTAAAGATGTTAAGAGTTACTTTGCAACAACCATCCGCTCAATAAAATAAAATGAGGTGTCTTACCTAGTTTGAAGAGCACCTCCCGCCCTCCCTCAATTGCGTGCACTAATGGCGCGGTCTACATCACCTGAGGATGTCTCGTGTAGAGGCGAAACACGTGTTGTATTATCATCGATGGTGTGTCTTTCCTAGAATAGAGGTGTTGGGAGTAGTGGTGCTGGGAGTAGTGGTGCTCGGATTAGTGGTGACGGGATTAGTGCACGCAATTGAGGGAGGGCGGGAGGTGCTCTTCAAACTAGGTAAGACACATCATTTTATCTGGGGGCAGTACCCCCGCCAAGTCGAGCAAAAAATCGGCACTGTCCGTACTATACTTTTCTCGAAGCAATTCAGGCCATTTTCGACCCCCTATAACTTCGTATTGGATAAAACTAGAATCCTGAATTTTCAGTAACCTATTAGGAATTGTATAAACATGGTATATCCTCTCGGCTGTCGAAAACCTTCTAAAGATCGCTATTAAAAAAGTACGCTTCTGTCCACAACCTTTTGAAGGTTGCAATTTACTTATAAACTTCAGACACGAAGCAGCCGTAGTAAATGTATCTGTATCTCTCTCTAACTCGTACAACATTGTTTTAATATAATTAACCTACTTATCTCGGTATGGAATTGTCGCTATTGAAGTACATAATGTGCCTTTTTTGTGCCTGTTTCGGGTCATCTTAAGTGGCCCACATTATTGTTGAGCTTGTGGTGTAAAAAAATATACGCAGAGTTTTTTTTTTTTATTAATTATTGTTAAGTGTATTTATCTAATTGTAAATAAAATAAATATTTATTGAAGTATTTGTTTTTTTTTTACAATTTTTTTATTCACCAAATTGGAAAAAAATCGCTTTTAGCATTTTTACCATGGAATTTAGAAAATGTAAAAAAGGTGAATGTACAAATTTACACATATTCTAATAGCTTACTTAACAATAATTTTAACAACATAATATTTTAAAGAGTTTCCATTCATTATTATTAAGATATTGCCATTTTAATGACACGCACCACGTAGGCAATAAATCACTCGTTTAGAGTTGGACAGCATGCGCCAAAGCGACCATTTGGGCCGGGATAGTTGAGAGGATATTTCAAATTTCATTCAATTTGATCCAGTAGTTTAAGAATTATAACTAGTCAAAGTTTCTTAATTTTGTCACTCACTGATTGACCGTTCATCAAAACTCTAAGGCACTTCTAGCATTTAAATAATACTAGTTTTTACGGATTTTATCGCGCATATATAAATTTTATATACCCGACGTTTCGAGCACTTTACAGCACCCATGGTCACGGGGGGGACTGAGCTGTTCAACGTCCAGATGTCATAGTTAGCCGCGGTTATCATAGATTAAAATTTAACTTTTGTTCCGATCTACACAGTATGAACTTATGGTATCTTGAAATCTTACAGTTGTATGCTTGGGTTGGAATTTAATTTTATTAATTATAGGATCCCAAGCAGATGGTAGCACCCAGTCATCTTCTCTATTGAAATTAGGATATTTTCTGATTTCAATAGCCTCGCGAATCATCCTTGGAAGGAATCGGTGTTCTTTAGAGAGGATTTGCGGTCTATCAAATCTGATGTAGTGACGGGGCAATCCTGTACGTGTTCACAGACTGCAGACTTCTCGGCGCGTCGATTCTTCACATCAGCTATATGTTCTTTAATACGGGTTTTAATTGATCTTTTAGTTTGTACTAGGAGAGACCACATTCACAATCAAGCTTGTACACTCCTGCATCTTGCAGAGAGACATTACACTTGACTGATGGTAAAAACTGACCAATCTTTTTCGGCGGCTTGAAGTGTTTTAATGGAAGCGCGCTTCAAGATGTAGTCAGTGTAGTCGTCTTGTCAGTGACTCCTCTGACATATGGTAGTACAGCAGGTACACGCTCGACTGTATGCTTTACTCGTTCACTGTGATGTAGTACTGCTTTACTCGTTCACTGTGATGTAGGCGCGGGACCCGAAGCTTGTTGTCATGCAAAACTTGCTTGATGTGCCGAAGCTCGGCTGCCAGATGTTTACTGTCACAGATCCCTCGTGCTCTCTGAAGCAAAGATTTAGCCACGGTAGCTAACTATGAAGGATGGTGGTGAGAATCACCGTTTAAATACCTATCTGTATGGGTCTTTTTTCTATACACAATATGGCCCAATATGTTATCAGGATTCCGAATTACTAACACATCTAGAAAAGCTACAGAATTGTTTGCCTCTAACTCCATTGTGAACTGAATTTTAGAATTTATAGAGTTAAGATGATCTAAAAATGCAGTTACTTTATCTAAAGGTAGAATTGTGAAAGTGTCGTCTACGTACCGCTTGTAGAATCTTGGATTTATGGGAGAACTAAGCAGGGCTTTCTCCTCAGTCTTCCATGAATATGTCGGCGACAATGGGAGATACAGGTGAGCCCATCGCCACACCATCTACTTGCTTGTAGAACTCTTCCTTCCACAATAGGTAGCCAGATGTAAGGCAGAAACTTGGATTTACGGGGGAAGTAATGATAACACCTTGATCCATACTGTGTATATAAAAAATACCCATACAGATAGATATTTAAACGATGATTCTCACCACCATCCTTCACAGTTAGCTTACGTGGGTAAATCTTTGTTTCAGAGAGCACGAGGCATCTATGACATAAAACACCTGGCAGCCGAGGTGTATATAGGTACGTTGTTGGTATTCAAGAAGTAGAAGGTACCGGAAAGGAAAAAAAGTAGGACTATCTTATCTATCAAAAAGAAATGAGATGCCATCAAAAACATATCTTGTAAAAAAACCAAGTCTCGCAACTCAGTTCTTCTACCGTAAAAAGTTGTGAGATCCATGTAATACCAAGTCGGTTAATTTATTCAGTTCCTACTTAAGGGTCCTTCTGTTTTAAGTTATTACGTAATTAGCTAACCTAACAACATATAGTGACCATATCAATTTTAAAAATCTTTTATGTTTTAAATAAATAGATTGACTTGGCAATCACACTAACCAATCTAATTTAATTTATTTTTAATATAATATGTATTACTCGTGAGATACATTGTGTTTTTATGCGAATAAAATACACTCGTTTCGTCGTTCTCATGTATAGTTCACATGTGCAAACATATTATGATACATAAAATCGCACCACTTTTACACATCAAAAGCTAAAAGTTAATTACAGCCTACTGAATCCCACTCATGGGCACAGACCTCTCATTTCTGTAACACTGTCAAATGTTTTCGTGACATTTTCTTTTCATAATTCAACATTCGGATAAACAATTTTATCAAAACAAATGTGAATAACATAAGCATGGCCGACATTTGAATTCAACTTTAATTAGTAACTCATATAACTATAACAGTAATTCACCACTATAGTATATTTTTCGAAAACGGCACTTAAAATTAGTTAAATAATTACTATAAAACACTCTCGCGTTACCCGCATGTATTGTCTATCAGACTCAGTGAAGTGTGCTAGCACAAAGTCGCCCCCCGCCCCGCAGTACCCCCACCGTTGCTCGGCACAAGTACATTCCTTTCCCAACTGTATGGTCATTAAACTGTGGTAATATTTACAGCGATTACTAAGTCCCTGAACTTCTACGGCTCAATCCACTTCACCCGATTAAATAAACAACAATACTAGGGCAACAATCCGCCAGCGGTGAAGTTCCACCAAAACACTTCGAAAACTCTTCAGTTTACGAGTTAGGAAATCAAAATTTAATTTGCCACATATTTTTAATCTGGTATCATCTTGAAATGATACTAGATTAAATACTTCGGTAGGTGGTAGAGCCACGCTGCAGTTATATTACAGCTGTAGCACGAACGGGTCGGATCAACCGGGGAAGAACTACACTCTCACAGAATACCAGCGTGAAATAATGAAGTAAATTTTATACTAATTTAGACACCCGGTGGTGCCACTGTATACGCGGACTGTGGAGTCGTTTACTTAATGTGCGGTGTCAATTTTTATTTTAAATTATTATTTTTCAGTCAAGTCTTGTTTATTATCCTAACCTCAATTTGAAATAGAAGTTTAGTGCTGCTGTGTTTCGTACGGTGAGTAGAGAATTCGAGGACTGAGATGGAATGCCACGTATTCCATCTCAGTCCTCAGGGGTCACAAATAACAATGTATCCGCATTTGTATTCTCATTCGAGGATAAATATAGATGTCTATGGGCCACAGCATCCACTTACCATCAGGTGGACTGTGTGCTCGTTTGTCACCGTTATCATATAAAAAAAAATTGAATGTCAAACAATTATTTCCTAAAAATTGAATGTCGAATTATGGACACATTTTTTTAAATTGGTAGAGTGGTTTCCAAGCCATAATTTTTATACTTGTTTGTTTTGTTTTTTACATTCTGGAAAAAATAGGGTGTAACAGGTAAACGAAATAGTAGTCTATGGGACTAATATTTTACAATTTTTTTGCTTTTACATTAACAAAATATGAAATTTTACTATCAAGATATACACCACTAATTTCAAATAAACTTTCAGTACTAATAAAAATTCCGATGATATCCCGGACGTCAGTCTGAGCGAGATTAGAATAGCTCTCCACCACCTTAAAAACGGCAGGGCCCCAGGCGAGGATGGAATTACAGCGGAGCTTCTGAATGCGGGTGGAACACCGGTACTTAAAATCCTTCAGAGGCTCTTCAATTCCGTCTTCCACGGTGGCACTACTCCGGAGGCGTGGAGCAGAAGTGCGGTGGTCTTGTTCTTTAAGAAAGGCGACAACACTCTCTTGAAGAACTAGCGTCACGAGCTATTTTCGAGAGTCATTACGAATCGTCTCGCACGCAGACTCGACGACTTCCAGCCTCCCGAACAAGCCGGTTTCCGAAAAGGCTTCAGTACCATAGACCACATACATACCCTGCGGCAGATTGTACAGAAGACCGAAGAGTACAATCTGCCACTTTGCCTGCCGTATGTGGACTATGAGAAAGCCTTTGATTCCGTCGAAATTTGGGCGGTGCTACAGTCCCATCAGCGGTGCCAAGTTGACTGTCGATATATCGAAGTGCTGAAGTATTTGTACAGTAGGGCTACGATGGCTATCCGAGTACAGAACCAGAGCTCGAAACCTATCCAACTGCAGAGAGGTGTAAGACATGGTGACGTTATATCCCCGAAACTCTTCACCGCTGCGTTGGAAGATGTTTTCAAGCTACTGGACTGGAAGTATAAACATCAATGGCGAGTACATCACTCACCTTCGATTTGCCGACGATATAGTCCTTATGGCAGAATCGCTGGAGGACCTAAGCACTATGCTCAATGACCTCAATAGTGCCTCCCAACGGATAGGTCTTAAGATGAACATGGACAAAACAAAGATCATGTTTAATGTCCATGTCACACCTATGCCGGTAGTTGTTAGGAGCACTATGCTCGAAGTTGTTGACGAGTACGTTTACCTGGGACAAATAGTCCGACTAGGTAAGTCCAACTTCGACCGAGAGCTCAATCGATGGATTCAACTCGGCTGGGCAGCGTTCGGGAAATTACAACACATCTTCTCGTACGGTATACCTCAGTCTCTGAAAACTAAAGTGTACAACCAGTGCGTGTTGCCAGTGATGACTTACGGATCTGAGACGTGGTCCTTCACTGCTGGCCGTATGAGGACGCTCAAGGTCGCTCAGCGAGCTATGGAGAGGGCTATGCTCGGAGTTTCTCTGCGTGATAGACTCAGAAATGAGGATATTCGCAGTAAAACCAGAGTGACCGACATAGCCCAACGGATTAGTAAGCTGAAGTGGCAATGGGCCGGCCATATAACTCGAAGAACCGACAACCTTTGGGGAAGAAAGGTTCTCGAGTGGCAGCCTCGTACCGGTAGGCGTAGTGTAGGGCGACCTCCCACTAGATGGAGTGACGACCTGGTAAGACATGCAGGACGACGATTGATGCAGGTGGCTCAGGACCGTGCTTTGTGGCATTACTTGGGGGAGGCCTATATTCGGCAGTGGACTTGTGAAGGGCTGTAATGATGATGATGATGATGACTAATAAAAAAATAAATACAAATTAAATCAATTAAAACTATCGCAATTAAAATAATACGCACCCAATTAGTAAGTATTTATTGATATATCAATTTCATAATGTGTTAATGTAAAAAAAATATAAAATTTCAGTGCCATAGGCTACTATTCCATTCATCTGTTACACCTTATTTTTCTCCAGACGGTAAAAAAATCACCCAATATATAAAGATTTATTAGAAATAGTGTTACGTCACAAAACAACTTTACCTGCGGGCAGAGAGCTTCTATTTGCGCGGCAGCATGCCGGACCATCTTCACCCCGTCCTCGTTGTTGGACATCGAGCACACCAGATTCGCAACCTGATGGACCAGAAACATATTATGGGGATATAGTAACTCAGCTCAAATTCTAATTTCGCCCCCACTTCCCCTCGCGTCGTATGCTATGTACCGACATGTTTGTAATCACTAATACTCTAAGTAGATAGGTCGTTAGATACTTATTTCATTAGGTTTATCATATTTATGCCTGTTTCTTAACGCCAAGCCAGTCGCTTCTTATTTTTATCACGGTTATTTCCCATTTTAATTTTACGTCGCCCCGCTGCGTAATGTGCATCCTGATCGTAAGCGACACAACTTCCCCCTCAAAAGCCGAAGCGATACTAACCGGGCGGCAGGAAACAAGCTTCAAGACGCCGATAGTTTAGGTAATTTCTTTTTACAGTGAAAATGGTATTTATAAAAAGTAAATAACATAAGCCCTGCTTTATAGTTAGTTCAGTAAGTATGCAAAGTTTTATGATCCTATTTAAAGTATTTTATGAATAACAGCGGTTTATTGTTCAGTTTGGAGGTAACTTTGGATTTTTTTTCTATCGAGGAAATTTTACGGAATCGTGTTTTCGTCTAACATAGTACTTAACATTAATCCTCAATTTTGCCATATATTTATTTCAAAATTAATACTTCACTATTTTCGGTATATCTTGTTAAGCCATTTGAGGTTATATTTCCCTTTAAGCAAACAAAACCTGTGTGCAGTTCACACGCGGTAGAAGTGAAACCTTAAGAAAACTTAACTTCGAGAGAATGAGATGAATGCAGAATACCACGAGTGGGATATCTGTAGGGTTTATGTAATTAAAATATAAATAAATTTATAATAAACACTGTATACTGTAATTAATAGAATCGGGCACTACTTTACAGAAATCCATTATATTAAAGATGTTAAGAGTTACTTTATCCACATCCGCTCAATTAAACAAAATGATGTTTCTTACCAAGTTTGAGGAACATATCCCGCCCTCCCTCAACTGTGTGCACTAATGGAGCGACGGCTGACCGCTAAAGTCTTAGCGGTCAGACGCCGTAGAGTCTACATCACCTGAGGATGCCTCGTGTAGAGGCGAAACACGTGTCGTATTATCTTCGATGTTGTTTCTTCCCTAGTATAATGGTGTTGGGAGTAGTGGTTTGGTGCACGCTGCGTGCGTTGGTAATAATAGTTCTTATTCTAAAATTAAAGTAGTTAAACTTAACTGGTGTTATAAGGTGTACTTTATAACACCAGCTATCTAGCCAGTGAAAGTTCTGTTGTTATGAAATCAAAAACAGACACTTCAACTTTGTTTATTTGTATAGATATTAAATCTTATTATCGTCGATGATGTGTCTTTCCTAGTGTAGTGGTATTGGGAGTAGTGGTGCTGGGATTAGTGGTGACGGGATTAGTGCACGCAATTGAGGGAGGGCGGGAGGTGCTCTTCAAACTAAGTAACACATATCATTTTATTTTATTGAGCGTATGGTTGTTGCAAAGTAACTTAACATCTTTAATTTACTGTATACTGTATTCTATCTCATTCTCTCAGAGGCTAAATCCTATAGATGTATAGGGTTGTCTCTTTTTCATTTCATCGAGTTTCAATCCACGACTATTCTAAAGAAGTTTTCACTTTAAAAATCGGTGACGCTGTGTCGGGGCACAGTCGCTTTTAGTGTTAGAAGTGTGTGTGAAGTGTTAGTAGTGTCTTTTAGTGTCAGTTAGGTTCGAGAGCCGATTTCGGTCAATCTGACCCAGCCCCGATACAAACTCTAGGTCGTCGTAACAGCGCGCTAACTATATAAGTTACATAACGACAGTTACATAAATCTCTAAGATTAACATTTTTGTAATTATTAAGGCAAGACGATATAGAACTTTTCGTTTCGGTTTTCTTTTCTGATGTGTATACGCATGTTACGGTGTGATATTAAAGACGTTTAACGTCAAAATCGTTTATATTTTCTATTCGCTGAGCCTAGCCTATTCTCCTGCAATAAATTCACTCTAAGCTTATAATTCAATCTGAGTATTTGACAATGCAATTTCAATTAAGAAATGTTCCACGAATTTAACATCGGGAGCTGGAATTACTTTTAGGTGTTAGTAATGTCCTCCAGACCGAATCACTGCGGCTAATCTCAAGGAAGACTGTCCATCTGCGAAGGACAAAATTATAGTGCCAAGTGTACATGCAAGCGCAGTTGCACTCTATTCCCTCACTCTCATATTCCGATGGGACGGTAAACCGACACAACCGGAGAGAGATCAGCCGCAGGACCTACAGCTTTATGTGGTTTCCGAGGCACGGGAGTTAAACACTGCCAACTTTCTGACTCAGGGCAACTAGTGAGAATTTTTGACAGAAAAACTCATTTACTGATTATTTTTGGCCCGACGCGGGATTCGAAGCCGGGACCTAAAAGATCAGCAGTCAAGTTTACAACCACTAGACCAACGCGACATAAGTTAGTATCGTATTCGTATATATAATAATATTTTGATTCCTAATCGAGGATAAATGTAGATGACTATGTGCCACAGCATCCACTTACCATCAGGTGGACCGTGCTCGTTTGTCACCCATATTCTATAAAAATAAACACATGTCATGTTAGCGATGGTATTGTGTTTCCTAGTAGTGCGGCGAACCCGAGAATATCTAAGTGTCTTTCTTGAAAGCTTGGTGTCTCAAACGCCAATCGAGAAAATATTCCAACCCGGTCGATCTTGCTAGCGTTGCTTCAAAGGGCAGGGTCTGTGCCTCGTCGGGCCGAATCCAATGAAAAATATTTAAAAAAATCGCAAAACCTTCTAAAACCTTCGAATGTGACTAGGCTGTATGGACAAGGATTCCTTTGCCTTTAATTATTACTAATTAAAAAATCTAATAAAAATTTAATACACACCTCGACAAGTTTGTTAGCGTGCTCTGTGAATACGACAGCGTACTCCTCTACTTCCTTCTCGTTGCCGTTGCGTGCAGCCTCCATCAACACGAGAAGAGGCACGTTGGTTTCCAAGAAACTGTGGAGGAACTTTGTTAGTTAATTATTACAAACAAAAGTCTATTACCGCATGTATTTAAGACAGGAGGAAGAACGGGGACTCCTGACATAGGTTTTCTTTTGAACTTACTCGGAGAACCCATCTACTATATTGTTTATGTTTGTAGTCTTAACCTCTCGAACACCAAGCGGCCATATTTGACCGCTTCGATATTCCGTCAAAATTCAATCGGTCATGGCACCCACCCACAGCATTTTAACCCATAACTTTTATGCATTTAGAGACTACTTTTCTATGAAGAAGCTTGGCGTTATAGAATTAATATGAAATTTTCTATCCTCTAGTGTAATAAAAAAACAGTTAATCTATGTCATAGACTAACTGTTTTTTTATTCCACTAGATACACATAGACTATGTATATTAATTTATATTCTACGTTCATTACGTACGCCATTTTCATTTGGATATTGTGGTTTTGATTTTTGGATTTTTCTAATGTTGATTTATATAGATATAACACACATTAAAATAGGGTTTGTAAATTACACTAATGCATATGAATACAAACACACAATAATCTATACACATAACAATTATCCTTAAAACCTACATACATATACATACAGATAAATACATACAAATACATACATAAATAATATATCTGGATAAAGGTATTTACGTGGTAGAGCCACTCTGCAGCTATATTATGGTTGTAGCACGAATGGGTCAGTTCGACCGGGGAAGGACCACGCTCTCGCAGAAAACCAGCGTAAAATAGCAGCTTTATGCTGCTGTGTTTTGTACGACGTTTTTGTACGACCCCTTTACTGGGATCGAGGCATTCCATCTTAGTCCTCAGGGGGGGGGGGGTTAAACGAATGTAGATATCTATGCGCCACAGCATCCACTTACCATCAGGTGGACTGTGTGCTCGTTTGTCACCCCTATCCTATAAAAAAAGGTAGCAGTATTGACACTGTGCTGACGACATTGTTTTCTAAAGTTGTTCCCGGATCGATCTTAAATCAAAATAATGTTGGTGCATTCCTAATGTCTTATTGGTTTAATATAAATGCTATACATGTGTGTATAACCCTGTGCGGTGGCAGTATAGGAATATTCACTATCATCCTGTGGGTTTCGACAGTGGGAGATGACCGGCAGCGTCTTACTCGTAATAACGTCTATACATAACTATCGTTACCAATCGGCTGGCCGAGCGTTTATTTAACAAAAAAAAGCGAAACGAAACCGAGCGTGGCAAATATGGGGCAATGTTTGGAGAGACCTGTGTTCTGCAGTGGACCATGATAGGCTGTAATTTTGATGAAAACATGTTTCTAATTTCAGTTTAATTTTTGTTTAAACTCTCAGCCCCCGAGCGGTCGCATGAGCCCGCGGCCATATTCCGTCAAATCCTTAGCGGTCTCATGAGACCGCACCCACACACAGCACTTTAACCCATAAAAACATATATTTAGAGACTACTTATCTATGAAGAAGTTTCGCATTATAGGCTCAATGTGAAATTTACCATCATCTAATGCAATAAAAAGTCGTTAGTTTATGGTTTTTTATTTATAATGTATGTTGTTCGTTTCGTACGCGTATTTCGTGTGACGTGTTATTGTGTTGATTATTGGATTTTTGGAATGTTTTATTAATGTTTAGTATAGTATTTCATTATAAAATTGTTATAAAAGCCTTTGTGTAATATAATTTATCTTTTTACGTTAATAATTTTAAGTAATATATAGAAATAATTGTGATATTCAAGATGCTGTCCTGTACTGGGTACGTACATTTTAACCACGAAAATACAATTAAAATCTATTTGTAATGAATTAAAAGTACTAAAACAAGTAGTATAACATAATAATTAAACAGAAACAAGTATTATATTGAAATTTATAATGATTATTATTCAAAATAAATGTACGACAACTTCAAGGTTAGATTATTTTTAGAAACGCCGCGCCACGCGAAGCAAGCGCGAGATATTAATCATTTTTAGCTGGAGCCTGAGGGGTTAACCGTCGTTTTAATTTGAAAATTAATAAAGTGTGTCATCAGCAAATAAAACTACATTATGGTTGTCCCCTACTATGTAAGGTAAGTCACTAATATATATAAGAAACAGAAAGGGTCCGATAATTGAGCCCTGAGGTACGCCCATTTGCACTATCGACCCACGGTAACGAGGCATTCCATCTTATTCCTCAGGGCCGTAAAGGCATTTTTTTTTGTTCTTCCTAACAAGATATAAAGACACTTGATCTGCCGTGCAATGGCACTATTTAGAATAGAATAATTTTTTATTCAATACAGATTACAAGTAATTCTTATTGAAAGTCAATATTTTACGTTACCACTGGTTCGAAAAAAACCTCTGTCCTGGAAAGAACCAGCAAGAAACCCGACGGGACTTTTTTGTAAAATAAATTTAACAATATCAATGGTCACAAAATATTTACAAAATTTATTTTAGAAACAGCTTGTAAGCGATCACCTCACTCCCAGGGGTTAATCAACCATGTATTCATTTATATCATAATAACCCTTTTTATACAGTTTTTGTTTAATTAAATATTTAAACTTGGTAATAGAGAGACCTTGTATATTTTCTGGGACTTTGTTGTAATAGCGTATACATTGCCCCAAGAATGAATTATGGACTCTGTGGAATCGAGAAACTGGTAACTGGAAACTTTAACTCCAGCAGTAGTATATGTGGACCAGTTATTGAAGTCGCTGCAGTGTCTAACGCATCTACATTTTGATTCTCTACAACAAGCGGTTCACACACTTGCACAAATATGATCGGTGTATCGCCAGCATTTAAGTACAGCACCAGTGTTTCTCTAGCGGTTTCAGCAGCGTTGCAGTGTCCTACAAATTTATATTTTGATTATTCCCGCCAAGCGGTACAGATACTTAAACAACTGGCACCAGAGCAATGGTATCATTCAAGTTCCGCCCCAGCGTATCTGTCACAGTTCCACCAGCAGCGTATCTGTCAAAGTCACAATAGTAGCGTATCTGAATCAGTCCCTGCGAGCGCAGCGTCCCACAGTTACTCGCGATACCATCCATACCATCTGGATGACTGGCGGTCCACCACAGTGCGATTTAAATGAAGTTTTCTTCCTCGCACAACTTCCTTGTGGAATGGACTACCAGCAGAGATTTTTCCGGCCCGATACGACTTAAGAGCGATTTACACTTCGACAAGTACAGTAGCGATTTAACTTGCAAACCTGGCGAGTTAAGTTTAAACCTCGTTTGAACGGCAATAAGCGAGTTAAGTAGAAGGTAACGATTAAGTTGAACATGATAGCCGGCCAAGCTATTTTTCGGCGAGTTAAGTGCGTGCTGTCCTCCCGCGCGTCTCCCGCCACCCGCAACTAAACTCACCGTTCGTGTAACGAGTGAGTTTAGTTCAGTGCATAAGTCGACAGGATGCAACGTTTGTGCGCCAAAACGTACAATTGTACTTTTATAATGAAACTCGCCACAAAGTTTGTACGATACTGTTTATTGAATATTTATATGTTTTATATTGAGTTTTAATAATAAAATGGACCGAAGATATGACGTATAATATCGTACAGGAGTATTTAGAACATAACACAATATATAATAGTAGAAGTTCAAATTGTAAAATTAAACCTGCTCGAAAATTCATCAATCAACAACTCATGAAAATTCTTAAAAATTAACAACAACCATTAATACTCTGACTGGATCATTTAATTCTTGATGTAATCCTAGAACCATCTTAAACGAAAACCGGAAAAATTCTGTAGTCTTGAAACGTCATACTCCAACGAACTCTATGAACTAATGTCCTTAACTAATCTCGCCACGAACACATTGTTTGAACGTTACTGCCCACTTAACAGTCTACTGTCAACTGTCCTGTAACTAAACTCGCTACTGTACTTGTCGAAGTGTAAATCGGTCTTTAGGGACGTGGAGTGGGCGCACCTGTCGGACACGTGGTCGACGACGGCCTTGCGCAGCTGGCGGCGCAGGTCTCTCGTCTTGCGGCACATGTGCTCGATGGCGCGATCCAGACCCTCCGACTGCTCCGCCTTGCCCGCCTGCAAACAATCAAATTATTTTACCGTCTAGAAATTCATTTGGGTCGATATCACCATCTCTTTCGGCAGTCTAGCAGAACTGCTATAAATAGAGAGCCAGCGCAATTACAGAGAGGCACTCCATCTTAGCGTGTTTCTTGGCTGCAGGTGTACATGGACTGCGAGTCACCATCAGGTGGGTTGTAAGTTGGTTTGTCACTGCAATTTTGTAAAAGATAATACATAGGGTGTGATGATAAAGATAGTGGTAATGGTAAAGGAGATTGTGGCAATGGTGGTGGTAGTGGTTGTGATAGCTGGTGGTGATGGTGGTTTCGGTGGTGAAGGAGTGGTGGTGGCGATGAGGACGCTGACGTGATTATAGTGGTGAGAGTAAAGGACGATCTTGTGGTAAATATGATAAAGTAAATATGAAAGCGTTTTAGTGGTGGTGTTGGAAGAGTAGCGGTGGTGGCGATAGTGTGGCGGCGGTGGTGCTGTTGTTGTTTTTAGTTGTGGTGTAGTGTCGGTGGTGTTTATGATAATGTGTCATTAGTGTGGGCCGTGGTGTGGCGGTGGTGGTGATACGGTATGGATGACGGGGCTGAACCTCGTTGCACTTCGCCACGATGTGTTGGTGTTGGTGTTGGTGTATGTGTGGTGTGGGTGCTCACGTTGTTGATGTACTCGTGCAGCAGGTCCTGCAGCGCCTGCCCAACCGCGTTGCACTCCGCCACGATGTGTTGGTGTTGGTGTTGGTGTATGTGTGGTGTGGGTGCTCACGTTGATGATGTACTCGTGCAGCAGGTCCTGTAGCGCCTGCCCAACCGCGTTGCACTCCACCACGATATGTTGGTGTTGGTGTATGTGTGGTGTGGGTGCTTACGTTGTTTATGTACTCGTGCAGCAGGTCCTGCAGCGCCTGCCCAACCACGTTGCACTCCACCACGATGTGTTGGTGTTGGTGTATGTGTGGTGTGGGTGCTCACGTTGATGATGTACTCGTGCAGCAGGTCCTGCAGCGCCTGTCCAACCGCGTTGCACTCCACCACGATGTGTTGGTGTTGGTGTTGGTGTATGTGTGGTGTGGGTGCTCACGTTGTTGATGTACTCGTACAGCAGGTCCTGCAGCGCCTGCCCAACCGCGTTGCACTCCGCCACGATGTGTTGGTGTTGGTGTATGTGTGGTGTGGGTGCTCACGTTGATGATGTACTCGTGCAGCAGGTCCTGCAGCGCCTGCCCAACCGCGTTGCACTCCACCACGATGTGTTGGTGTTGGTGTTGGTGTATGTGTGGTGTGGGTGCTCACGTTGATGATGTACTCGTGCAGCAGGTCCTGCAGCGCCTGTCCAACCGCGTTGCACTCCACCACGATGTGTTGGTGTTGGTGTTGGTGTATGTGTGGTGTGGGTGCTCACGTTGTTTATGTACTCGTGCAGCAGGTCCTGCAGCGCCTGCCGCACCGCGTTGCACTTCACCACGATGTGTTGGTGTTGGTGTATGTGTGGTATGGGTGCTCACGTTGGTGATGTACTCGTGCAGCAGGTCTTGCAGAGCCTGCCCAACCGTGTTGCACTCCACCACGATGTGTTGGTGTTGGTTTATGTGTGGTGTGGGTGCTCACGTTGTTTATGTACTCGTGCAGCAGGTCCTGCAGCGCCTGCCGCACCGCGTTGACTCCGCCACGATGTGTTGGTGTTGGTGTTGGTGTATGTGTATGTGTATGTGTGGTGTGGGTGCTCACGTTGGTAATGTACTCGTGCAGCAGGTCCTGCAGCGCCTGCCCAACCGCGTTGCACTCGACCACGATGTGTTGGTGTTGGTGTTGGTGTTGGTGTATGTGTGGTGTGGGTGCTTACGTTGTTTATGTACTCGTGCAGCAGGTCCTGCAGCGCCTGCCGCACCGCGTTGCACTCCACCACGATATGTTGGTGTTGGTGTATGTGTGGTGTGGGTGCTTACGTTGTTTATGTACTCGTGCAGCAGGTCCTTTAGCGCCTGCTCAACCGCGTTGCAGTCCACTACGATGTGTTGGTGTTGGTGTATGTGTGGTGTGGGTGCTCACGTTGGTGATGTACTCGTGCAGCAGGTCTTGCAGGGCCTGCCCAACCGCGTTGCACTCCACCACGATGTGTTGGTGTTGGTGTATGTGTGGTGTGGGTGCTCACGTTGATGATGTACTCGTGCAGCAGGTCCTGCAGCGACTGCCCAACCGCGTTGTACTCCACCACGATGTGTTGGTGTTGGTGTTGGTGTATGTGTGGTGTGGGTGCTCACGTTGTTGATGTACTCGTGCAGCAGGTCCTGCAGCGCCTGCCCAACCACGTTGCACACCGCCACGATGTGTTGGTGTTGGTGTTGGTGTATGTGTGGTGTGGGTGCTCACGTTGTTGATGTACTCGTGCAGCAGGTCCTGCAGCGCCTGCCCAACCGCGTTGCACTCGACCACGATGTGTTGGTGTTGGTGTTGGTGTATGTGTGGTGTGGGTGCTCACGTTGGTGATGTACTCGTGCAGCAGGTCCTGCAGCGCCTGCCCAACCGCGTTGCACTCCGCCAAGATGTGTTGGTGTTGGTGTTGGTGTATGTGTATGTATGGTGTGGGTGCTCACGTTGTTGATGTACTCGTGCAGCAGGTCCTGCAGCGCTTGCCCAACCGCGTTGCACTCCGCCAAGATGTGTTGGTGTTGGTGTTGGTGTATGTGTATGTATGGTGTGGGTGCTCACGTTGTTGATGTACTCGTGCAGCAGGTCCTGCAGCGCCTGCCCAACCGCGTTGCACTCCGCCAAGACGTGTTGGTGTTGGTGTTGGTGTATGTGTATGTATGGTGTGGGTGCTCACGTTGTTGATGTACTCGTGCAGCAGGTCCTGCAGCGCCTGCCCAACAGCGTTGCACTCCGCCAAGATGTTTTGGTGTTGGTGTTGGTGTATGTGTATGTGTGGTGTGGGTGCTCACGTTGTTGATGTACTCGTGCAGCAGGTCCTGCAGCGCCTGCCCAACCGCGTTGCACTCCGCCACGATGTGTTGGTGTTGGTGTTGGTGTATGTGTGGTGTGGGTGCTCACGTTGTTGATGTACTCGTGCAGCAGGTCCTGCAGCGCCTGCCCAACCGCGTTGCACTCCGCCAAGATGTGTTGATGTTGGTGTTGGTGTATGTGTATGTGTGGTGTGGGTGCTCACGTTGTTGATGTACTCGTGCAGCAGGTCCTGCAGCGCCTGCCCAACCGCGTTGCACTCCGCCAAGATGTGTTGGTGTTGGTGTTGGTGTATGTGTATGTGTGGTGTGGGTGCTCACGTTGGTAATGTACTCGCGCAGCAGGTCCTGCAGCGCCTGCCCAACCACGTTGCACTCCGTCACGATGTGTTGGTGTTGGTGTTGGTGTATGTGTATGTATGGTGTGGGTGCTCACGTTGTTGATGTACTCGTGCAGCAGGTCCTGCAGCGCCTGCCCAACCGCGTTGCACTCCGCCAAGATGTGTTGGTGTTGGTGTTGGTGTATGTGTATGTATGGTGTGGGTGCTCACGTTGTTGATGTACTTGTGCAGCAGGTCCTGCAGCGCCTGCCCAACCACGTTGCACTCCGTCACGATGTGTTGGTGTTGGTGTTGGTGTATGTGTATGTATGGTGTGGGTGCTCACGTTGTTGATGTACTCGTGCAGCAGGTCCTGCAGCGCCTGCCCAACCGCGTTGCACTCCGCCAAGATGTGTTGGTGTTGGTGTATGTGTATGTATGGTGTGGGTGCTCACGTTGGTAATGTACTCGCGCAGCAGGTCCTGCAGCGCCTGCCCAACCACGTTGCACTCCGTCACGATGTGTTGGTGTTGGTGTTGGTGTATGTGTGGTGTGGGTGCTCACGTTGTTGATGTACTCGTGCAGCAGGTCCTGCAGCGCCTGCCGCACCGCGTTGCACTCCACCACGATATGTTGGTGTTGGTGTTGGTGTATGTGTATGTGTGGTGTGGGTGCTCACGTTGGTAATGTACTCGTGCAGCAGGTCCTGCAGCGCCTGCCCAACCGCGTTGCACTCGACCACGATGTGTTGGTGTTGGTGTTGGTGTATGTGTGGTGTGGGTGCTCACGTTGTTGATGTACTCGTGCAGCAGGTCCTACAGCGCCTGCCGCACCGCGTTGCACTCCGCCACGATGTGTTGGTGTTGGTGGTGGTGTATGTGTGGTGTGGGTGCTCACGTTGTTGATGTACTTGTGCAGCAGGTCCTGCAGCGACTGCCCAACCGCGTTGCACTCCACCACGATATGTTGGTGTTGGTGTTGGTGTATGTGTGGTGTGGGTGCTTACGTTGTTTATGTACTCGTGCAGCAGGTCCTGCAGCGCCTGCCGCACCGCGTTGCACTCCGCCACGATACGCTCACGTCGCTCGTCCCTACATACACACATGTGAAATTTTAGAATACACAGGGATATTTATGCAATATGCGGCCAAATTTGCAAAGGAACTTCAGAATAGGTAAAATAAGCAAATGGTGAAAAAAATGGCCCTTTTTATCATTTTTATATTTGAAATATGTGAAAATACATTATTTTAACCGATTATCATTCAAAAATATATAACGCCTTCCATTTTATGCGCACACAATTAGTATAAGTCGCGGCACGTAATTCTAACGCTGAACGAAAAGTCGTATCAGTACGGGGTACGCAATAATGCGCCATCCGGCCAATTATGCGCAATAACGGTCACCGCTGGACTATCGTGCCGCGAGTTGTAATGGAGTGTAAAATTCGGAAGAAGTCGGTGGGGTTCAGGCAATTCGGCGCTCGAGCTCGGTTACAGATTTACGTATCTATCGCACGTACTATTATTTATTCTGTGGCGCGGTGTCTTCGCAGCGATCTTGCTGCGCACTAGCCTCTCTTTGAACTCGCATGCAAATCATCAGTATGGTAAGGCCCTATTTTTAAATATAATGTAAGTTTAGATTTTTTTATAAAACTTTATCTCGTAAACACCAGCTCTAAAAAAGAAGTATAATTCCACCTCCAGATCTTTCAAGAGTCATTGCCAAGGCAGAGTCAGAGCACATAGGCAGAATTGGCGAGAAACTAGTTCACCTTCCTTCTGGAACCCGTGCATTCTGGTCTCTCGTCAAGGCTGTCCAGGGGAATTTCTGTCAGCCATCTCATCCATCTTTGCACAGTACGTTCGCCACCAAAGACCAGCAACCAGCCTAACACCAACAACCGCCCTCGAAACAGCAGACGCCATCCAAACACTGGTTGGCATTGCTATCGAGGTGGGCAGTCAGGTCCTGGCTAATATAAGAGCCGGGGCTGATCGCATTACCGTCGTGATGAAGGCGCTTGCACACCTACCGGTTCGGCACTACGGAGGATAGTAACCTGCACCTGCTCTATTGGAGCCCGGACTGAATCCAGCATAAGCTGCATGAACTCCGCACAGTCGCCCAACAACAGGTCATCCAGGTGATCTTGCGGGGAGAGAATAACCTTAGACCATTTACGCATCTGAAACTGCCCAACTATCGCATATACAGGCGGGACGAGGTCACTCCTCAAGGTACCGCCTAAAGAGGGACGGCGGTTCTAGTGAGGAGGGACATTGTCAATCAAGAACTAGACCCGCCATACTACCAATCGATCCGCTCTATCGGCATAAATGGAGGCGGCTGGCGAAGAACTAAGGATCTTTGCAGCATACCGCCCGCCAGGGACTCCATTTTACTCCCCAGACGTCTGGACGGTAATGGAAGGCACAATACCCACCATAATCGCCAGGGACCTAAACGCCAAACGGCGCCACGGCGTGGGTGTCTAGATTGATCAACCCGCCGGGTCATGAAATTTTTGAAAATGCGGAGAAAAACAACTATGACGTTTTAGGTCCCGAAGAGCCTACAAACGTTCTGACAGACCCACGGAGACGTCCGGATGTACTGGACATCGTGCTCCCTATTAATGACAACATCCCGATAGTGGCAGAGGTGTTGTACGACCTGAACACACAGCAACTGTCGATACTGATTATCCTTGTCCTCAAGGCGGTGACTACGCCGCCTAGAGCCTTCAAGACCAAAGTTGACTGGAGGTTCTACCATCAACACCTGCAGGAGAGACCTCCAGCCCATACACCTCTAAATACAGCGGACGACGTAAAGGCCGCTGCAACTAAAATAACCAAGTCCATCCAAGAGGTCCTCCGCGCGGCCTCTACGATCGTCCCGATCACCGCACAGAGAGACGAACTGCCACGTGTGATATGCGTGGAGATCAAATGTAAGGCAGCGTTGAGGAAGCTCTGGGCGCGCACTCGCTGTCCCAGGATAAAAACTCAACTCAACAAATTAACGGATGAACTGTCGGTTGCAATCCAGACCCACAGAGGACGCCTGGGAGAGCGGTGCACCTGGAAAGCGGAAGAACATGATGCGTCGCTGTACAAATTGACCCGACAGTTAACTAAAACTAGTCCCCCCCTTTTTCCAGCTGACCAACAACGCGGGCGAACGTCAAGGGTAGAGCGGATATCCTAGTAGAGCACTTCGAGGAGCAATTAATGCCGAACCCAGCAAGTCCGGAGTTCATGGAGCTTCATGTCTAGGAGAGCCGCGTACAGGAGTTCCTGTTGTCGCCAGCGCCATCGCCTGCAGGAGAGTGGTTCATCTACCCCGCTGTACTGTGACAGTAACCCGCCTGCAACCGAGGAAGGCGCCGGGGGTATGACGGGATTACCAACGCTGCACTCCGACAGCTGCCTCTTCATCGACTCTACTATGGGATTTTGCAGACATCCCACTTCCCAGAGAACTGGAAGGCAGGCAGTCATCGTCTTGCCGAAACCAGGGAAGTACAGACGTAGAGCTGCCAGCTACAGGCCGATTACACTGCTACCGCACACAGCTAAACTGCTGGAAAGATTGCTCCACCCCAAGTCACATGCACGGGCGGAGCAGAACGTATTCAGAAGGAATCACTCTATATCTACACAGCTGACCAGAGTGCTGCTCCTTGCGGTCAATCACAACCGCAGCCGTATAATGTGATGTCTCTCTCGACATAGAGAAGGCGTTAGACAAGGTATGGCATTCTGGATTACTCTATAAATTGGAAGAACAAACCAGAATCCCTAGTCCAGGCTAGTGGCGTAAATCCTCGCAGATAGGAAGTTCTACGTCTGTGTAGAGGACTGTGTTTAAAACATAGAATACTATAATACACAATAGAATGGTTGTCAACCTTATTTTGTACGAGGATAGGCGTCACCGGGAGCACATATACAAGCAATTACGTCGTATTATCAGTTAATCACTACTACAAACCCGATTCGCTGTGTTGACGGACGGATTTTAATACATATTTATTTGTAAATAGCGTGCAATTCGGCATTTTCTAAATAACTTGTATGCGAAATTTGTAAACGATTGTAACGTCAAAACACATCTCGTGTTGACATTTATACGTGTGAATTGACGTGTTAGTGGCATTTTCGTGGCTACACGGGCTCCGCCCACTCCCTCGTTCTATTATGTATGTATTATAGTATTCTATGGTTTAAAATTTCATTAATAACTCATTTCATTACCAACGTGTGCAAGCACTATATAGTAACCATGGTCCACCTCGAAAACATTTTTGTGAATGGTTAATGTTATTTTAATGTATTTTAATGCATATTTAAGTTGTAAATAGTTCGTTGTTGTAAATAGTTAATTGTTTTAAATTGTTTATAGTTGTAAATACTTGATTCCATTTTTTTTGTAAATACGCAATAATAAAGACAGACATCGGTTACGCCGTTGATTTTTTTTTAATTTTATTCATTATAACGGTATTTTATTTTAATATAACGGTACTTTAAAGTCTGTTTAAAGTATAAAGGGAAAATTAGTATCATGATTAGCGTCGCGCAGTTATCAACTTAGTAGCGAGCGTGTTATTAAAGAAGTTGTGACGGCGCTGTCGTCGCGCCGCTAGTGAAACACACCGAAGCCTAAATCGCGCTATCAAAATTCCGAATCATAAACAGTATATATAGAACAACTCCAAACTATCACATGGAGTGTTGGCCGCTCCCCGGGCAAAACACCTTGCCCGGCGGGAGATCTCCCCTTCTTCCTCCGCGGCCACAAAGTAAATAGTACACAAAATTTACGTGCATTGACTAGTACACTCTCGAGCGCGCAGACGCTGTGGTTGTTGCTCATAAATCACATTTAATATCGGATATTTTCAAATAAATTTAGAAACCTTACTTACGCGTATTAAGCATAGTGTTTATCAGTATTTATATTTTGAACTTAATTGTTCCCAGAAACAGAAACTTTATTATTTAATATAAATTACAATAATACTTATTGAAAGTCACTTGTTTTTTTTTAATTTACACTAGTTCGAAAAACACTTCTGTCCTGAGAAGAACCAGCAAGAAACCTTATCTCAGACATTTTTGTGCAGACTGCTATGTATACTACGAGACGGGCACTACGGTATTAATACATTGCGCGCTAAGTTACGATTAATTCTTCGTAACTTCTTCAGTCGACTGTGTGCGGGCGATCAGACCAGTTCTTTTTTTTTTTTTTTGTAAACCGCGAACGTTGTTTTCGACAATCAAACACTAATTTTAAATTTAACACGTATCAGCTCGACCGGGGAAGGACCACGCTCTCACAGAATACCAGCGTGAAATAGTAGCTTAATGCTGCTGTGTTTCATATGGTGAGTGTAGAGATCCGGAGACCCTTTTTACTGGAATCGAGGCATTGCATCTTAGTCCTCACGGGTGACAACGTATTTGCATTTTGATCCTTAATTGAGAATAAATGTAGATGTCTACGGGCCACAACGTCCACTTACCATCAGGTGGACTGTGTGCTCGTTTGCCACCCAATGCAACAAAAATTTGTAAAAAAAATTTTTTTAGTGAGACTAAGGGCCGATTTACACTTCGACAAATAAAGTAGCGAGTTTAGTACAGGGAATTTGCGTTAGCGTTCAAATGTCTTCGTGGCGAGTTTAATTAGGAAAAGCAAAATTTTATATTTTGAGGGTCGAACGCGAACACGTAGTCCTGTCAACTTATGCTACTAACCTTGCTAAAAACTAAGCGGCGAGTTTATTTAGTTTAGTTGCGGGAGGCGTGTAACGCAACACGGCAACATTTCACACTTAACTCGCCGAAAAATAGCCGGCCGGCTATCCCGTTCAACTTAATTTGATTGCCGTTCAAACGAGATTTCCTACTTTACCTCGCGAGTTAACTCACTACTGTACTTGTCGAAGTGTAAATCGGCCTGAAGAAAACACAGTCATTATTTACGAGCGCACTTTGAAAACGCGACTTGAAGTTTATTTCCGATTTATCTAAAACATTAACTGTCATAAATAAAAATACATCTGAGTGGCATATTTACCGTGCCAGCTGCACACCCCCTCCCCCCCCCCCCCCGCACGATCCACAGTTAGAACATAGTATTTGTTGTGAATTGTCAGTGATAAATAGAAGTCAATGTTTTTTTTTTAATTTGCCTATATTACTTATGCTGAAACTTCTCTGCAAATCAGGCCAGTTATTGCAAAGTAACCCTGTATTATGGTTGTAGCACCAATGGGTCGGCTCGACCGGGGCAGGACCACGCTCTCACAGAATACCAGCGTGAAATAGTAGCTTAATGCTGCTGTGTTTCGTATGGTGAGTGTAGAGAACCGGAGACCCTTTTTACTGGAAACGACTTATTCCATTTTAGTAGTTACAGGTGACAACGCATCTGCATTTTGATTCGTAATCGAGTATAGATGTAGATGTCTATGGGCCACAGCGACCACTTACCATCAGGTGGACTGTGTGCTCGTTTGTCACCCTATCCCATAAAAAAAATTGTATGAAAGGATGACTTATAATTTTCAAGCAGCATCTTTGTCCGATGACGGGACACAATAATTATATTTTGCAATGGTATTTAAACTTTATGTTTGAGTGATAAGGTTTATAATAAACTGAAGTTGTTAATATTAATCTTTTTTCCATATTTCATAGTAAGAAATATAGATGTTTACGTGTGTGCATATTTTTCTTCCTGATCCTTAATCTAATATTATTAATCGAAGCATAGAAGTCTTTATTTTTTTTTTTGGAAGGAGACAAAATAAAGAATGTAAAAAAAATTTCATCCATCCATCTCCATTTCCAACCCCACAAAACTCTGACGTACCACTCAGTATAACCAACATACCTCGTACAAGAACTATCAGCCATGAGGGCAGCTCCAGAGATGATCGATTCCAGCCTCTCTTCTAGAGACGGTCGTGTGCGCAGCTCCGAGTATGCCAGTGGCTCCATCACCATACGCTCCTAGAACAGTAAAGAAAAGAACATTAACAGATATCACAGAAAAATTTCCTTATTTACCACATGATCGGTGAAGAAAAACATTTTGAATAAAATTGCTAACATATGCGAGGGTAATATGGTCATCCGGTTAATATGGTCACGTACTTAGAACTAAAAAACTACAGCCTTGTCTGCATAGATGGCTCTGTGATACGATAGCTCTTCATTGGTCAATCAAATAATAAGGTCAAAAAGGCTTTATCGACGCCATTTTGACAGTTGACATTATAATAAATGTGATCATTGTTTCTTTAAATTGATTTTTCGAAGTATTCCTAATTCCAAAAGCTTGTTTGCTATTTTTTTCTTAATATATTACGTATAAGATACAAATATGTGTTTATGTATCCCTCTCCTACTTTTGGTTTTAAAGGGCGGCAAATCATATCAACATTAAAGCTACCTTACTTGATGATGGGAACCTGTGATGTGGTCACAAATTATGACTAGAAATGTCAGCATTCTAGGTCCTAAACCACTCAAATACTAAGCAATATTACCGGAGTGGTCTATAATATTATCTATTAGTTAAAGGTATTACAGTATGAAGCCTGGTATGTATTATTGAATTAAAAACAAAACTCACATCAAAGTCATCAAGCGCTTGAGCCAACTCTCCGGGGCCTTCAATCGGTGGTCTGTTGTTACCTGGAATATATTTTTTAATTCATTAAGTAAATACATAAATAAAAAACTATTGTTAATAATTTTTACTTCTTTAGCAAATGGGAGTGACAAACAAGGACACAGTTCATTTGGTTCATAGATATTCTGGCGTTTAACTGCTTCGTTGGTCTAGTGGTTGTAGTAGTGCGACTGCTCATCATGAAGTCCTGGGTTCGAATCCCGGGTCGGGACAAAAAATTAATTATTGAGTTTTTCAGTCAAGAAATTCTCAGTAACTGCCCAGAGTCAGGAAGTTGGCGGTGTCTCACCCCTATGCCAAGGAAAGCACGTAAATCTGTTGGTCCTGCGCCTGATCTCTCTACGTTTGTGTTGGATCCGTTCAACGGATTATGAGAGTGATGGAATAGAGAGTGCACCTGTACTTGCGCATACACTCGTGCACTATAATCCTGCCCTGCGCCGATGCCTAGTCTCCGCTGAGGCAGGCCGCTGTGACCGAAATCCGGCCTGGAGGACATTAATTAATATTAAGATATTCTGAAATTCGGTAGATAAAGTTAAAAAAGTTAAAGATATAGGCCCACGGCTGGGCACAGGCCTCCCCTCATTTCTGAGAGGGAATCGGGGCAAGGCAAGGCCCCAATGCGTGTTGGCAAACTTCAGATGTTTTCGAAATATTATTTTTATTTCTCAGACATGCAGGTTTCCTTACGCTGTTTTCCTTCACCGCCGAACACGTCGTAAACTAACACTTAAAATAGCAATTAACAATTTCATTGGTGCCGGCTGGTATCGAACCCGGCTTGCTCGCGTACTGTGAAATTTACAGCGAGTGCTAACCATCTGGGCTATTTTTCATAAAAATAAAATTTGACCAAAAAAAAATTGTCAAATTTTATTTTTATGAAAAAATAGTCACAAACAAACACAGTCCATCTCATGGTAAGTGGATGCGGTGCCTCATAGATATCTATTTTCTCTTCTAGATTGAGAATCAAAATGCAGATACTATGTCACCTCTGACGACTAAGATGGAATGCCTCGTTTCCATAAAAAGAGTCTCCGATTCTCTACACTCACTATACGAAACACAGCAGCATTAAGTTACTATTTTGAGATTTGTGAGAGCGTGGTCCTTCCCCGGTCGAGCCGACCCATTCGTGCTACAACTATACTACTAACATAACCGCAGCATGGCTCTACCCATATACCATAATTTTGTAAATTTTTTTTATACAAATTTTAATAGAACCACCATGTTCCTATTTCATCGCTACCACAAAAAACATTCTATTCCATTCTATCCAACACTCTTCCATAAATGGAATATGGTATAAGTCCAACAGTGGCACTTGTAGAATCCTTCTCACCAGTGGGCAACGGTCGTCCTTGCGCGACGGCTGAGATCGTGTCCACCGCAGAGCAAACCGCGCGCAGAACAAAGTCGCGGTTTGCTTTCGCAGCTGCTAATTCTGGATGTCGCACGTACACCTGCAAATAAAAACATGGTTAGGAACAAAAACTATACTAATAATAAAATTTAATATTAGAATTGAATATTTCGAAGATGATACAAGTCTTCTCACAGGTGATTTTTGAATATCTACAACGGCGCCATCTACCGGATCTTAATGTGAATTTCATACAGTTTTTCAGTTTTAGCGAGACTAACGGACAAGCAAATGATTTTACAGACTTCAAAAAGGAGGAGGTGTTCAATTCGACTGTATGTTTTTTAAGGTTACCTCATAACTTTTCTCTGGGTGAACCGATTTTTGATTATATTTTTATCTGAAAGCAGGTGCTTCTCGCGCGGTCCCATATGAATTTAATCAAGATCTGACCAGTAGCTTTTGAGTTGTCTTTAATAATGCGTATTTAATTGACTTCATATACATTGATTCGGTCGTATTGAAGTTGGTTTGACAAAATTTCTACTTTTACCACTTGTCATTTTTATATATAGCAGAGATAATTGTTTAGAAAGGGTTACTATACTACTAATGAGTACTAGGTAGGTATTACCATCTACTTTTTTTTTTTTTTATATAGAATAGGGTGACAAACGAGCACACAGTCCACCTGATGGTAAGTGGTTGCTGCGGCCCATAGACATCTACATCTATCACCCGTGAGGACTGAGATGGAATGCCTCGTTTCCAGTAAACTACTTGTTTCTGTGCCGATCTAAAGAGTATAGAGATGGTATAATTATATGAAGTATTCCATGTTAAGCCTGAAGCCTTTAACTGAAGTTGGCTGCAAGAGTTTATCGGCTGCAGCAGTCACTTAACACCAAGTGGATTTTAAATTAATTATACTGCAGCTATATTACTGGTATAGTTGTAGCACAAATGGCTCGGCTCGATCGGAGAAGGACCACGCTCTCACAGAATACCACTGTGCTGTGACCCTTTTTACTGGAAACGAGACATTCCATCTTAGTCTTCAAGGATGACAACACGCCCGACAGACACCACGACAGATGTGGAAGTGTATGGGCCGCAGCAACCACTTACCATCAGGTGGACTGTGAGCTCGTTTGCATTTCTTATATTTTTTTTAAACGTTAAATTTATAAAAGAAATGAACATGAAAAAGTGTTAATGAGATTGGAAGTCATGTGTTTCAAGAGTTTAATGTTGGTCAAAATTGGAAGATTTTGTGTTTACCCAGTTATGAAATTAGAAGTGGTGTTTTGTGTTTAGGGTTTAAAGTGTCATGTTTGGTTATAATATTGGAAGTAATATCTTATATTTAGTAGGGGGTTGTGTAGGCCTTAACCCTTCAATATGCACACGGTCGCATCCGACCACGGCGATATTCCCTCAAATTCTAAGCGGTCGGATCCGATCACACCCACCTACAGCACTTTAAACTATAAAACATGTAATACTTGTCTATGAAGAAGTTTGGTATTATAGGCTCCATGTGAAATTTTCTTTCCTTTAATGCAATAAAAAACTTAGTCTATGGTATTTATTTATATTATACGTTCATTTCGTACCACTGTTAGGTGTGGCGTGTTATTGTGTTGATTTTTGGATTTTTCTAGTATGTTATAGTGTTTAGTATAGTGTTTTATTATAAAATTGTCATAAAAGCTTTTAGTGTGAATATAATTTATCTTTTTTACGTAAATAATTTCGAGTAATATATAGAAATAATTGTGATATTCACGCTGCTGTCCTGCGCTGTATATGTAAATTTTTTACTGTAAAAATACAATTAAAATCTATTTGTAATCAAGTAAAAACACTAAAACAAGTAATATACCATAATAAATAAACAGAAACAAGTATTATATTGAAATTTATAATGAATTTTATTGAAAATAAATGTACGACAAATTCCATGTTAGGTTATTTTATGCGACGATGCGTCACGCGGAGCGCGCGAGCGGTGCGAACATTTTAGCTGGGGACTGCGGGGTTATGATTTAAGTGATGTTTTGTGTTTAGGGTTTAAAATGTCATATTTGGTTATGAGAGTGGAAGTGATATCTTGTGCTTGGAGAGTATTATATTGATTACGATTGAAATTGGTGTGTAATGTTTGACGAGTATCATGATGGTGATGGCATTGCAATTAGTGTTCTGTGTGGAGAGTCAGTGATGAGTTTAGAAGCGGTGACTATCGTATGCTGACGCGTAAGATGCTCCCAACTTTGGAAGCAGTTATCGTCGTGAGCACCACGGTGGAGTGTTTCTTGAGCACAGCTCATGCTGGTGCTAGGTCATCTTTAGCGAGTGGCTCGTTGAGCTTTCGCTGGCAGTGTGCATGTAAGATGAGCTAGCATCCTCATAAGTCATGACATTTGAAGTGGTGGCGTGTTATGTTTGGAAAGTGTCATGTAGTCCTACATGGTAAGAATGGAAAAGTTTCGTGCTGGTTAGATTGGTGCTATTGATACGTTGGTTCTAGCGTCTAGCGTTTGGGTAGTGTCACATTGGTGATGATTGATGGTGATTTGTGGAGTTTAGAGAGTGTGATGTTGGTCACGATATTGTGTTGTGTTATGTTTGTAGTTTCGTGTGATCATTATACTTGTAATACGTGTCAAGTGTTTATAGTGCTGTTGTACCTTGGAGGCGGTGAGCAGCATGGTGGAGTGCTTCTTGAGCACGGCGCGCGCGGCAGCCAGCTCGTCCCGGGCGCGCGGCTCCTTGAGCTCGTGCTGGCGCCGTGCCGCCTGCGCGCCCAGCTCGGCGGCCGAGCGGCCCAGCTGCCGCGCCGACTCCACCAGCTCCGACTGCGACGACGCGCACTTCAGCTTGTCCAGGTCCGTCTCCACCTGCGCGCACACACACGTACATTACTACAGGTGGAAGGAGACCGTACAGTACCGGTGAAAGCATTTCTACCACCCCATAGCATATTTGTATTTAAGTCAAACAAGTATTAGTAGTTTTAACAGTGTTTGAGCCACGCGGCAGCTTTTGCTGTCGCACGGATAGGCCGACTCGAACCGGGATGGTACCACGACCTCACAGAATAATCGATAAAATGATATAGATATTTACCTCTGCGTTTCGCTTGGTGAATACAGGTGGCCGGAAGCCCAATTCCTCCCCCCCCCCCCCCTTAACATGGTAGAGGAATCAATTAAAATCTACCCTATCACGGTATCAGCACCCATGAAGACGGAGAATCTCTCGCTGAGCATCCACGACCAGGTTATCTTACTCTTCCTGAGCGTGGGTGCCCAGGTTACCCCGCTGGGGGTGCAATTCCGCTCGCGACTAAAACAGCTCGGGATAAGGGGAGCAACAACACCAAGGCGACCCCTACTGAGCTATCCGTGAATTTTTGCTACATTAGAGGACTTCATTCAAATGCTAACGCTGTCCCCACTACCAACTGGATACAGCGAAGCCGGCCTTGCTCTTTTTAACGGAGACTCAGATATCCTCTCTGACTGATACTTCATATCTCTCCTTCCCGGGGTACAAATTAGAACATTCCTTTGTGCCACGGGCTGGAGTTTGCGTATACGTCAGAGAGGACACATCGACGACACCTCGGCAGTCTTGAAGGTACGGACCTGTCCATCCTACAGCTACGCGTAGACAGCGACGACCATCCCCGCGTCTACGGGTGCCTCTATAGGTCCCATAGCGGTAATGCCGAAACAGACCACGACCATCGACCACGTCCAAAGGGCTACAGATTCCTTGCTACAGCAGATCCCATCCGCAGAAATCGTGATCCTCGGCGATTTTAACGCCCACCACGCCGAATAGCTCGGTTCACGTTTAACCGATCACGCGGGGAGATCTGTTTATGACTTTGCCTTGGCATATGGTCTGACACAACTGGTTACCTCGCCTACGCGGATTCCAGATGTGGAGGATCATGCACCTTCCCTGTTGGGCTTTCTGCTGATCTCTCATCCGGACGAATATCAGATTTCCGTCGACGCCCCTCTAGGCTCTTCGGACCATTGTCTTGTCCGGAGTGTGGTGCCAGTCGCTGTTGCATTCTGCAGTCGGCCGATTGGGATAAGATGCGATATTTTTTTGCATTCTGCCCTTGGGGGCGGATTTTCTTCCGCCGGACGATCCTAGCATTGTTGCTGATTCTATCGCTAATGTGGTACTTCGGGTATGGAACTTTTTATTCCGTCCTCTGTGGTGCCCTCGGGGACAGACCCCAGCCATGATTTAGTCACTCCTGTAAAATAGCATCACGCTATGAGTGCTACCGGGCTCGGGCTGACACATCAACGTCTCGGGATGTAAACACCTTCTTAAAAAAGAAGTACAATTCCGCCTACAGGTCCTTCAAAAGAGTCATTGCCAAGGCAAGGTCAGAGCACATCGGTAGAATTGGCGGAAAGCTAGTTCGCCTTCCTTCGGGAACCCATGAATTCTAGTCTCTCATCAAGGTTGTCCAAGCGAACTTCTGTCAGTCATCTCTTCCATCTCTGCACAGAGAGGACGACTCACTGGCTCGTGCCGCAAAGGAGAGAGCCGATCTGCTGGGCTCTCTCTTTGCGTCCAACTCTACTCTCGATGACGGGGGGAACACAACGCCGACCATCCCGCTATGTGAGTGCTCCATGCCGGATGTGCTGTTTACTCAGCGCTCGGTTCGCAAAGCACTCCTCTCCCTGGACGACAGCAAATCTAGTGGACCTGATGGAGTCCCTCCCATCGTGCTGAAGACGTGTGCTCCGGAGTTGGCGCCGGTTTCAACGCGTCTATTCCGGTACTCATACTCCCAAGGAATAGTCCCGAATTCATAGAAGACATATTTAGTCCACCCGATCCCTAAAAAAGGCGACCGCTCAGACCCATCCAACTACAGGCCTATCACCATCACCTCCTTGTTCTCCAAAATAATGGAGTCCATTGTAAACTGCCAGCTCAAGAGGTACCTTCAGGATCACCAGCTTATTAGTGCGCACCAGCATCACCAATACAGTTTTCGTCGTGGTCGATCAGCTGGTGATCTTCTGGTCTACCTGAGTCATAGATGGGCGGAAGCAGTAGAGTCCACAGTAGGGACACATTGGCCGTTAGTTTGGACATAGCGAAGGCCTTCGATCGGGTCTAACACAAAGCGCTTCTTTCGAAGCTCCCTTCCTACGGGCTTCCCGAGAAATTGTGCAATTGGATCACTAGTTTCCTTGCTAATCGGAGCATCAAGATCGTAGTAGACGGTGCATGCTTTGATTACAAGCCCATTAGTAGTGTTCCACAAGGCTGCGTGCTATCACCAACGCTGTTTCTTCTGCATATCAATGATATATTGCAAATGATGGTGATGCCTTATACACCGGCCGTGCCAATATTTCTCGCGGAAACGTCGCCAAGTACCGCGACAAAGGTGTGTCTGAAGTCGTCTTTTCTAAACAAAGTCTCGGATTGGGGGCGACTAAACCTATTCCAATTCAATCCTCAGAAGACACAAGTTTGCGTGTTTACCGCTAAAAAGAACCCCTTTGTCGTATCTCCTCAGTTTGAAGGCACTCCACTTGCTGCCTCAGCTAGCATCGGAATCCTCGGCGTCGACATATCGAATAGTGTACAGTTTCGTGGTCACTTGGAGGGGTAGTTACATGTTACAGGTATGTAGCTTTGTGGTGACTCACCGCCCTCAACTTCGCGAGCAGCAGATGCACGTCCACCATGTCCGCGAGGATCAGCAGGCGGGTGACGGCCGACAGCAGCGCGCGCGCCGCACGCACCATCGCACTTCGCACCGAAGATGCGCAAGGCTCCTCGGAGAACTCACGAGCTGCTAGCGACATCGCAGCACCTGATATCACAACAGCGGTTTTTCAACTGAAAACTTCCGAAAAAGCGACACTAAAGGAGACAAACATATACATCTATAGGATCTAGCCTGCGGGAGAATGAGATAGAATATTATATTAAGTTAGACATGGTCAGGTCTCTTTCACTCTTGCTACCTGTGTGAAATAATTACCTACAATCGCGAGACACCCAAGGTAACATACACAGTTGGAGCTAGAGCATTGTAGGCGATTGAATGTTAAAGTGTTTTAACGCTGTTTACATAAACAGTTTTTTGTAAATACTTGTTGAAATAGTTCTTATTTAGTGTATTTAACTGTAGGATAAAATAGTTAAAAAATATATATAATTTAAAAACTATATATATATTACCATTTGATAAACTATAATGGCAAAAAGTCGTTTCTATCATAATTATGGCATGGATGACCAACAAAAGGTATCAGATATATTATTCTTTAAGATACCGAAGGATTTTAGTAGGAAACTATGAAAGGTGAATTTATTTCATTTATAAGTACTTATAGCAAAAAAGAATTAAGTAATAATTTTTCTACAGAAGTAATACCTACATACTTTATTACAAAACTTAGTTGAAATCTACTTCACTATCCAAGTATCTACTTACATACCTATACTTGTCTTTTATATTTAAAATATTTTAAGTAATAATAACATAAAACTGGAATCAAAACTTTGTTTAGAAGACTAATAAGATTTTTAACTAAGTAGAATACGATCACATTTCTGTTAGGAATGTCGTTTCTTCCGAGGCAAGCATGGCGATTCTCGACGAATGGCCTTGCAAGTTGCATGCGTTAGGCATCGCAGAACTCACATATGAGCGAAAATATTGTCAGTCGATTATAGTCAAAATAAGTACTTCACCTAAATAACTTAATTAACATTTCACAATGTACTTTTTACTCTTTATTAACATCCCTTAGTAACCACGGAAAATCCGCCGTGACATATAACAAAGGAAAAAAATGCAAAGTAATACTGACACTCGCGCGCAGCGATAAAGTTTCGTTTAGCTTACGTGTACGATTTATCTAATTAATAATTACGTAGGCTATTAAACTTCGGCAAGCAGTCAACATCAAAAGAATGCGACTTTGTACGTAGTACTATTATTTATTCTGTGACGTGGTTAAGCCATCTAGCGTCTATTTGACGTAGCACCTTTAGTCAATCAACTTTTGTTTGATAAAATTACTACCTATAGAAATGACGCTATTAATTTTACTCGCAGTTTTGCGAAAATGTCACTTCTACCGCGTGTGAACTGGGCCTGTTTATTTGAATGAATTGAATAGAATAATTTTTATTCAATATAGATTACAAAACTACCTATTCAGTCACTTATGTTTTACCACTGGTTCGAAAAAACCAGTCCTGGGAAGAACCAGCAAGAAACCCTAATATCCTATAGGACATATTTTTCAATTTGGATGCTTTACTGCACTACAGTCAGTTTTATTCCATATGTAGTATTTAGGAAATCATTAACTAGATTCATGTCCAAGCAGTACGTCACACAGCCGATCCCAAAGGTCAATCAATAAACTAACCAGCCTTCCTGACTTCCTCAACAGCAGCCAACATCTCCTGCGTGATCTCGGGGTTCTCATAGGCGATGTTCTGCCCGCGCTCAATGAAGATCTCGGTGGCACGCTCCACCGTGGCAACCAGAGCACTCGCACGCTTAGATTTGCCAGCTAGAAAACATAAGACCAAATTAAAAAATACGTGTGGCACTCGATGACTGCCGCGGTAAAGCTATTGCAGAGCATTTTTTATCAACTTATGCAATTATAATTATTTATTTATTTTATTTATGCATTTAAGTCTTTGATATTAAATCAAGTTACACTTCTTGAGCGTGGTGACCGATAAGAAAACAATTTTTTTTCTCTTATTGAATAAATGAGAAGTTAATATTGTTTAAAATATTTTTAATATCTTACAATACTTGTAGGTTATTCAGGAATTTTTATCATTGAGTTAGCAGCTAGTGTACACGCACACAAACCCCGTGCCGAAGTCTGCCGAGTGCCGAAGTCTGCCGAACTAAAACGACGTTAGACAATGCACGGCTTTCAACGCCACATCTCCGTGCCCGTCGGAGTGGGGAGCGTGAGGTTTTTTCGTTACGGAATTTCTGGATTCGGTCCCCGCGCTCAAGGCCCGCGACAGAAGCTACGCAATAGCTTAAAATGTATTATAATAAAATTGAAATGCAGAGTCATACTGCAGCTATATTACGGTAGTAGCACAAATGGGTCAGCTTGACCGGTGAAGGATCACATTCTCTCAACATATCATCGTAAAATAGCAGCTCAATGCAGTTGCATTTCGATTGTTACGAGCTTAGGGTTCATGACAATAAAACTGATTATTTACGGATTTTATCGCGTTTAATTACTTTAATTTATTTTTATTATTATCCCGACGTTTCCGGTGCTTTACAGCGCCCATGGTCACGGGGGGGGACTGAGATGTTTGACGTCCCAATGTCATAGTTAGTCCGGCTACCTTCAGTTTTTTAATATTAATTTTTGGTCCGATTTACGCAAAACGAGCTTATAGTATCATGAAGTCTTGCAGTGGTATGCTTGGGTTTGGGTTTAATTTTGTTGATTATAGGATCCCAAGCAGATGGTAGCACCCAACCATCTTCTCTATTGAAATTTGGATGTTTTTTAATTTCAATAGCCTCGCGTATCATCCTTGGTAGGAATCGGTGTTCTTTTGCGAGAATTTGTGGTTTGTCAAATCTAATGTAATGGTGGGGACGATCTTGAACATGTTCGCAGACTGCAGACTTCCCGCAGCGTCGGTGCTTCACATCAGCTATATGTTCCTTCACGCGGGTTTTTATAGATCTCTTTGTTTGACCTATGTAAGAGAGACCACATTCACAATCTAGCTTGTACACACCTGCATCTTGTAGAGGAATATTACATTTGATGGATGGTAAAAATTGACTAATCTTCTTCAGCGGCTTGTAGTATGTCTTAATGGACGCTCGCTTCAAGATGTAGCCAATCTTGTCCGTGACTCCTCCAACATATGGTAGTAGAGCAGGTGCGCGCTCGACTGTTGCCGGCTTCACTCGTTCACTGTGACGTAGGCGCGGGACCCGAAGCTTGTTGTCTTGCAATACTTGCTTGACGTGCTGAAGCTCCGCGGCCAGATGTTTTCTGTCACAGATCCCTCGTGCTCTCTGAAACAAAGATTTACCCACGGTAGCTAACTGTGAAGGATGATGGTGAGATTCACCATTTAAATATCGGTTGGTATGGGTCTTTTTCCTATACACAGTGTGACCAATAGTGTTATCAGGATTTCGGATGACTAAAACATCTAGGAAAGCTAAAGAATTATTTGCCTCTAACTCCATTGTGAATTGTATTTTAGAGTTTATGGAGTTAAGGTGGTCTAAAAATGCAGTTACTTTGTCAGATGGTAAAATTGTGAAAGTGTCGTCTACGTACCGCTTATAGAACCTTGGATTTACAGGAGCAGTAAGAAGGGCTTTCTCCTCAAAGTCCTCCATGAATATGTCGGCGACTATGGGAGACACAGGTGAGCCCATCGCCACACCATCTACTTGCTTGTAGAACTCCTCCTTCCACAATAGATAGCCAGATGTGAGGCAATGTTCAAGTAGTATTGCATATTCTTGAGGCATGTTATTTTCTTCTAGCTTCCTAGTTACAATTGAGATGCAGTCCACAATAGGTAGGCATGTAAATAGTGACTGAACATCAAAACTGACCATAGTTTCATTGTTAGCGAGATGTAGGTCTTTTATCTCACTCACAAAATGGTATGAATCCTTTGTGTGTGCTCTGGTATGTCCTCTCAGTGGTGATAGTATTTTTGCTAAGTATTGTGCCAGCTTATAAGTTGGTGAATCGATCTGGCTCACTATGGGACGTAGTGGAGCGTTTGGTTTGTGTATCTTCGTTAACCCATACAACCTCGGTGGTTTGGCACATGATGGTATTAGCGAATTCACGTCGATATTTAATTTTTCGGAGTATTTCTTTATTAAATCGCTAGTTGTTTTAAGCGTGTTAGTTGTAGGGTCTGTTTTGACTGACTTGAAAAATACTATCACCACTGAGAGGACATACCAGAGCACACACAAAGGATTCATACCATTTTGTGAGTGAGATAAAAGACCTACATCTCGCTAACAATGAAACTATGGTCAGTTTTGATGTTCGGTCACTATTTACATGCCTACCTATTGTGGACTGCATCTCAATTGTAACTAGGAAGCTAGAAGAAAATAACATGCCTCAAGAATATGCAATACTACTTGAACATTGCCTCACATCTGGCTATCTATTGTGGAAGGAGGAGTTCTACAAGCAAGTAGATGGTGTGGCGATGGGCTCACCTGTGTCTCCCATAGTCGCCGACATATTCATGGAGGACTTTGAGGAGAAAGCCCTTCTTACTGCTCCTGTAAATCCAAGGTTCTATAAGCGGTACGTAGACGACACTTTCACAATTTTACCATCTGACAAAGTAACTGCATTTTTAGACCACCTTAACTCCATAAACTCTAAAATACAATTCACAATGGAGTTAGAGGCAAATAATTCTTTAGCTTTCCTAGATGTTTTAGTCATCCGAAATCCTGATAACACTATTGGTCACACTGTGTATAGGAAAAAGACCCATACCAACCGATATTTAAATGGTGAATCTCACCATCATCCTTCACAGTTAGCTACCGTGGGTAAATCTTTGTTTCAGAGAGCACGAGGGATCTGTGACAGAAAACATCTGGCCGCGGAGCTTCAGCACGTCAAGCAAGTATTGCAAGACAACAAGCTTCGGGTCCCGCGCCTACGTCACAGTGAACGAGTGAAGCCGGCAACAGTCGAGCGCGCACCTGCTCTACTACCATATGTTGGAGGAGTCACGGACAAGATTGGCTACATCTTGAAGCGAGCGTCCATTAAGACATACTACAAGCCGCTGAAGAAGATTAGTCAATTTTTACCATCCATCAAATGTAATATTCCTCTACAAGATGCAGGTGTGTACAAGCTAGATTGTGAATGTGGTCTCTCTTACATAGGTCAAACAAAGAGATCTATAAAAACCCGCGTGAAGGAATTTAACAGTGGTAGAGCCACGCGGCAGCTTTGCTGTCGCACGTATGGGCCGGCTCAAACCGGGGTGGTACCACGACCTCACAGAATACCGGCGTGAAGTGGAAGCTCTGCTTCCGCGTTTCGTCTGGTGAGTGCAGGTGGCCGGAGGCCCAAATCCCCCCCCCCCCATCAACATGGTAGCGGAATTAAATGATAGACTACCCCAGGAGGGTACCAGCACCCCTGGAGAATCCCTCGCTGAGCATCCACGACCATGTTTCTCCACTTCTGAGCGTGGGTGCTCAGGCTGCCCCGCGTATTCTGGGGGGGGCAATATTCCGCTCAAGACTAAAACTGCTCGGGGCAAACGGAGCAACAAGACCAAGGCGACCCCTGCCACGCTGTCCGTGAATTTCTGCAATATCAGGGGACTTCACTCTAACCTAAACGCCGTCCACTACCATCTCGAGACGGCGAGGCCGGCTCTGCTCTTTCTGACCGAGACGCAGGTGTCCTCTCCGGCTGATGTCTCGTATCTCTCCTACCCGGGGTACAAACTGGAACACTCCTTTGTGCCTCGGGCTGGAGTTTGCGTTTACGTCAGAGAGGACATCTGTTCTCGACGCCTCGGCAGACTTGAAGGTTCGGACCTGTCCATCCTTTGGCTACGCGTAGACAGCGACGACCATCCGCGCGTCTACGGGTGCCTCTATAGGTCCCATAGCGGTAATGCCGAAACAGACCGACTCTTCGACCACGTCCAAATGGCTGCAGATTCGTTGCTACAGCAGATCCCCTCCGCAGAGATCGTGATCCTCGGCGACTTCAACGCCCATCACGCCGAATGGCTCGGTTCACGTTTAACCGATCATGCGGGGAGATCTGTTCGTGATTTTGCCTTGGCATATGGTCTGACACAACTGGTTACTTCGCCTACGCGGATTCCAGATGTGGAGGATCATGCACCTTCCCTGTTGGACCTTCTGCTGACCTCTCACCCGGACGGATATCAGATTTCCGTCGACGCCCCTTTAGGCTCCTCGGATCATTGTCTTGTCCGGAGTGTGGTGCCACTCACGCTGAAATCGCGGTTGCATTCTGCAGGCTGCCGCCGTGTTTGGCACTATAGGTCAGCTGATTGGGATGGGATGCGGTCTTTCTTTGCATCCTACCCTTGGGGGCGGGTTTGCTTCTCGCCGGATGATCCCAACGTTGTTGCGGATTCTGTCGCTGATGTGGTACTTCAGGGTATGGAACTTTTTATTCCTTCCTCTGTGGTGCCCATTGGAGGCAAATCTCAGCCATGGTTTGGTCGCTCCTGTAAAATAGCATCATGCTATAAGCAGGAGTGCTACCAAGCCTGGGCTGACGCATCAGCGTCCAGGGATGTAAACACCAGCGCTCTAAAAAAGAAGTATAATTCCGCCTCTAGGTCCTTCAAAAGAGTCATTGCCAAGGCAAAGTCGGAGCACATAGGCAGAATTGGCGAGAGACTAGTTCGTCTTCCTTCTGGAACCCGTGCATTCTGGTCTCTCGCCAAGGCTGTCCAGGGGAATTTCTGTCAGCCATCTCTTCCATCTCTGCACAGGGAGGACGACTCA